GACTCTGATCCCTAACACGGTGTGCTAGTGTTTTCTTTATGCTCCCTTCATGCAGAATTGTTCCGTCGTTCCGTCTGTCCCCCGCCGACTGGTGTATTTCCAGTCCCCCGACTGTCTTTCATCCCGGTAACATCGTTCCCCTTATCCTTCCCTCTGCTCCATTGAGGGCAATGTCGAACTTAAGTGTGGGGGGTGCTTTGTATTTGTTGGAACGTATATATGTGTGCTTGGAGCCTAGTCCGCTGTCCAAATCTCGAGATTTAAGGACTCCAAGTACTTATGTTTGCATGATCATATTGGCATTGTGGGTTTGATTGGTGAATCGAATGGCTTTCGAATTGATGCATGACAACTGGATTGTGACTAGAACAACCTATAATGATGACTGAGACTTGTAGTAGAGTTGTGTAGGGGTTTAGTTTTTCAATTGTTTGCTTACCAACTGTGACTTGGATTGATCACTTGTTCTTGGCAGCCGTTTATGCATCTAGTTCAGGGAATCAGAATGAGAGATAGAGCATATAGGTAGCCATGTGAGATTTGAGCCTGCTCGTTTCTTTCTTGTGCGATAGATCCCTCTTCCATGATGTGTAGCATTCACGTTGTCATTAGCTAAGATGATGGAGGCATAGGAATAGCCCATGACCAAATTGTCTGTTCTGGTGTGTCATACTCCCTAGTCAGCCCCTTTGAGCCATGTCACTTTCATTCTTTCGGTCTACAATGAAAAATCACCCGTTTGCATCTCTTAGAAGGTTCCACAGAGTGGTTTTTGCATGTTCTCTGCTGTTTCTGCCAGAAATAATGTGAGGGTTGGAGGTAGTGCTTAAAAGTTGGGCATGAAAAAAAAAAGATGAATGAAAGCAAAAGAGAGCCACTACCAAAACTCTGAATCATGCTCATTAAGTAGTGTTTCTTATCAGTCTGGCTTAAAAATACTAACATTATTGTGACCTCCTTCGCTCTTATGCTCTAAAGAATTTGAGTAATGCAGAATGGCAGAAAGAAAGTAAGTGGTTTGATTGGCTGTGATTGTGTTGGGTTTGGAACTGTGGAACCTTGTGCTATGAATACTTCCACCACCTAAAAGGCTTTTCCCCCATGTCCAAGACCGTAGCCAGTCACTTGAACCTGTGTCTACGACCTCCGGATTAGTTAGTGGTGACATCCCTTGTGTGAACTCTAACATTTGAAGGCTGCCATCATGGTGAAGAGACGTTAGGATTTGAGAGAATAAGCATGCACATTTTTCGCATCAAATTGTCCTGACCCCACTGGTCGAGAGTGAGCGATTCATTTCCTTGTTCTTTATGCTATTTACCCCAGTGAGGACCTAGATGGCTCGATCTTGATTCTGATGTCTTGAGTTTGATGCATGCGATGATTGTCTTGGCTAAGTGGTTGAGTTGAGTCTATGTTGGTTGGTGAACAAAAAGGATTCCTCTTCCTTTACCCGATTTTGCTGCACTCGAATGTCCTCTGTGGTGGTTGTCTAGGTTGTTGTTGAAGTTGTCCATATGTTAATGATCAAAATCCAGTATGATTCACGTATTTTGTGCCTATATGATATGTCCCCAAAGTTGGTATGATTGAAATGTGTTGAGCTTACCTTGTATCTGACTTGGTTTGCTTGGGGACAAGCAAACGGTTAAGTGTGGGGGAATTTGATGAATTGATATATACACATGTTTTTGTCCACCATTCTTAAACCGTTCGAGCCTCATTTCTCGTGTCTTAGGCCGATTTCACGCTAGGTTGTTCTTGTATGTTACATTTCAGGTCCTAGTACGTGAATGGAGGTTTGGGAACGAGTTAGGGGTTGATTGGACGAAGATTGGACGTTTGGCAAGAAGCTGCGAAACCACACGACCAGACCTAAAAACCACACGGCCGTGTGATGTGGCCTTGTGGAATCCTTTTGCGCGGGAAAATTGCACTGGCCGTGTAATGGACCCTTTGTGGCCGTGTGGAAATCACCGAGACCTTCACACGGGCAGGCCGAGATTTCACACGGCCGTGCAGTTCTGGCCGTGCAGCGTGTATGAAGCCACTTAAGTGAAACGCCACGTTTTGCACTTTCACACAGGCAGCTGGTAAATCTACACGGCCGTGTGGCTTGGCCGTGTCGTCGGGAAATTCTAGATTTTAACCCAATTTCGGGTCTTTTGAAGAAAAATCGAGTTTTTGAACAAAAACAGAGTTTTAGAGAGAGAAAGTGCAAAGAACAAACCCTAGGAGCTATTTGGAGTGGATCCCTCACCATTGAAGCCCATATTGCATCCCCAGGAGTGAAGATCGACATCCGAGAGCAGAATATCCCCATCTTAATGAGTATGACTGCTTTGATTTCTATTCTCTCTCTCTCTCTATGGAGTTGAACCCTCTCCACTTGGGTATGAAGACTCCTAGTTCCATGTGTTAGGAATCTTGATTGTAATGACTTTGGATTGATATACTGATTGATTTTAATAGATTGATGCATGATTCATTGAGTCAATTGAAGCCTGATCATCTTTTCTTGATTTCTGCTGCAACCTGAGATAGATAGAATCTGATTAGGTTGTTAGAGCGTCATCAATCGATAGTAGTAGATTGGTTATACGAGAGTTAATAGATTTACTGCTTTGTACTGGAACCCAATTCCAGTAGTGGAGTTCTGTGTTTATTGCCTCAGCAGTCTATCCCGGTGAAGGTTAGTCGCCTGCCGGTTAGTCTATTTGAGAGGGCTTGGTCAGCTTAAGAGATTCCAAGCTACTATCAGATCTTCCATAGTTTAATTAACGGTAAATCAACCAAGGGTAAGTACAACTTTGACCTAACTAAGGAGCTAGGGGGACTCATTCCCGAGTGACTCTTCCCTTGCTAAAGAACTTCGAACCATTTCCTGCTTTCTTACTGCTTTTGCTTAAATCACAATCACTCGACTTAGTTTGCTAGATAATAGATAATCACGGAGTAGGCAGTAGATCTGGACCCCGGGTTGACAAATAGAGCTTGCCATTTTACTGCATTTCCGGACTGCGATTACACTTGGTCGCAGTTTGGTGTTGTGTTTTGGCGTGTCACATACCAAAGGAAGAAAATAATACGTAAAAGAACATATGCCATAACAAACACACCATCACGACACAAGATTCACAATATTCAAATAAAAAACACTGTAAACAATCAAACGACTAGAGTAGTAATTCTCAACTTTTCTTAATAACCCAAGAAATCCCAGCCGACGATGCCAAAAACTTGATTCACACCATGTTTTACGGTTTGTAAATTGATGCTCACTCACTCCTAACACTAAGAAAGACAAGTGTACCAATACTAGGCTTGTGGTAATCGAAAGTTGATGCTCACTCACTCACTCCTAACCTTAGGTATACTATTACTTTGCTATAAACTACTATCTTATCAAACAGAAATCTGGTTTAAAAACTAACCTAACCTAACCTAACCTAACTATGAAAACAACCAACTAACTAGTTGTGAGGTCTCTAGAGATTGGATGGTTTCTTAGGTTCGAATCCTTTTAGTACTAGGATGGGTAAGTAATTGATGCAGATCCTAATGTGATTTGCCTAACTGCTAAGTTGCAAGAAGTCGTCTAGTCTAGTGGTTGTTGCGATGGTCACGACTCACAACCACACTTCTCGGCCCTTAGCTATCTCAATGGTAATGTAACTAGCTAGGTACCCAAAGAATAGGGGTTAGACACTCAATTGGGGTTAACCCCAATGCAAATGGAACTTTGACTAAATGGTTACATAATCCGAACCCCACAATATGTTATGTGTTCCAACGCTAACCTTGGGGAATGGTCAACACAACCTAGGTCATTAGCATACATTAGTTATCTCTACTAAAGCAAGATAATGGCAAGATGAAACATCACCAAATCGTCGATATATAGGAATGAAGGCTAGAACATACTAGAATTCATCTTTCATAAATAACCACAGGGGCTCAAGTCATAAAGAGAGAAAGTAAATACAAACTATAGCAAGGAAAAGTTTGAAATTATCTTATTCTCTTGGATTGCAGCTCTATCCTTGGTTGTTGGATGGATTCTTCATTCCTTAGATCCTCCAAGTCGCTTCTCTCACTAAATACTACCCAACCCTATTTTCTCACTCTATGGTGGATCTCCTTCATCAAGTGCTAGAAAAGGCGTATATATAGTGTTTTGATGCACGCACAACCCACGGGTGCGACCCTTGACAAAAGTCATAGAATCGTTGAAAGCTCAGCGTCTTCACCTGTTCACAAGCGGCAAGATAGTGGCCTCGATCTATGAGTTAATATCGATGATCTCAAAGTCACAGCATAATTTTTCTCGCTGTTAGAATCCTTCTTGGCCGTGAAACCTTATACTGGATATTTTGTAAGACGACTGGTCACGGACGTGACATGTGGCCGTAACTTTTGTAAAGTTACATTTTATTGCTACTATACGATGCAAACGTGCTTGGATGAACTCCAAACAGTTTCACAATCAATCAAAGGACTTGGAACATCAGAAAATACACCATAGAAGCATAAAACATGATAAAATGGGTAGTCTCCTCAATGACGAACGTTCACAACAACCTAACTCATGCTAAAACTCATATTGTATGTATAGGAACGCTGCGCATATTGGCAAAAAAATAGCTCACTATGTGGCCTAGATATTGGAGGTTAGGTAATATTGATTTATGTGTTATTCGGAGCACTACTACTATGCTATATAGTATTGGTGCTTTAATGTACAACTTGAAGTTGTACCATAACATTAAATGTATAAGTTTAGGTTGTACCATAAAAGAATTTGTATCATTATGTTATGATACAATTTTACAATTACAACTTGAAGTTGTACCATCATATAAAGGTACAAGTTCAAGTTGTACCATAAAAGAATTTGTACAAAATGTATAGGTACAATCTGAAGTTGTACCATAACGTTAAAGGTATAATTTCAAGTTGTACCTTAACAAAAACCTATAGCACCAATACTATATAGCATTGTAAAATTCCTCGTGTTATTCGTCGCTCAACTCCCATCCCCGTCGATCAACTCCTACATTTAATTCAACTTTCTCTTTTCTTCCCTTCCCTTCTCGACGTGCAACAAACTTGACACAGATTCTACCACGAGCTATGATTCAAACAAAATCCAATCAACATTTTCCCTTTCCATTCTCAAATCATGTATAGCCATTCAAGTCCCACCATCCAATTCACCGAGGAACATCAAAATTGGAAAGTGAAGTGTTTAGAAGTTATAAGCTTCTAAATGATTCCTCAAGTCCGAAATTGATTCTTTGAACCAGGGCATACGCTCCAAACCTAAATCGGATCATGAATTTGATTGGCTGCGTAGCTTCAGACCTCGCGGCGGCTCGTCTACTACACAATTTTGGAGGATTTGTATGAAGCGGTAGAGTTGGTGATGATCTTAAAGGGAACGATGGTTGGATATTGGATTTGGAGAGGCAGTGTAGGGATTGTGTCTTGGAATTTCTGGTAAGGTTAGATGGGCGGAGGTGGTAAACGGAGAAGCTGGGTTTAGAGATCACATAGTGACGAGCTTAAAGGGAAGCAGAGGCATGTAGTTAGGGCTTGCAACACTATGAGAATTAGATTCAATTCAGTTTAGGGTTTTTTCACAATAGAAGATTGATGGATAGGAAATTTGAAGCAGAATGGTCGCAATGGTTCTGAGCTTGTGTGGCAGTTCGTCGAACTTTCGTTGTGTGTTGGGCAACCGCGGATGGGTTTTAAAATTTGTCACAGGGGTGGAACCAGTTGCTTGACTCACCTCATCTCTTCGAAGATTCAAGTGATGAACGATCAGATGGTGGATGAGAAAATTTCAGTTTGGGGCTGAGATATAGGGGTTAGACAATGAAATAGGGGTTAGACAATGAAGAGAGAAAAATTAAAAAAATTCCAAAGTGGCACATGAAACAATTTGATTGTGTGCCACATCACTTCTAACTCAACAAAGTTTCTACGTCAGAGTCAATTAACGGTTGAACGGACGGGAAGTTGACAATTTAACTATTAAAATATTTTTGAAATAATTGATCTATTCTTTTGTTTAAAACAAAAGGTTGAACTATTATATTATTTTAATCCTAATATTTAATATGGTTCCTAAATAATAACTACAACTGAATCAAATACTTAACTAAAAACAAACACAAATAAGTATATAATAATAACGAATTTCCAGCCAAAAGTCTCGTTACGAATCACATAACACAAACAAAATTACCTGAAGAACAAGCCACAATATTTGTTTGTAATTGAAAGATGATCAAAATTGATCAGTTATGTTGCTGGCATACATAGATAAGCTCCCTCGTAAATTCAGTTATGTATAACTTCTCCCTCGTTAATTCAGTAATGACATGGACTTGGGTATTATACGTAGTTGAAACATCGATCGATATCAAACGCGGCGACCGACGAATCCTCCATTGCCTGTCGCAGCAACAGCAGCTGGCGCTGCCCTCATAATCACTCCATGATTGGCAAGCGCCGTTGCTCTGGCGACGGCGGCCGCCTTTCTCTCTCTGTCGGCACGATTGCATTCCCTTCCGACGAGGCAAACCAGAACCAACAGCATCATACCAACCAGGGGAGCCGCCATAACAAGCAGTTCGTGCTGTTGCTCCCATCCGGATTTGAGGAAATCCGGTATGAACCCGCCATCAGCACGAGGAAACAGAGCACTACTCGCCAAGAAGAAGCAGAGCAAGATAGCTGTTGAAATCATCATTGTAATTAAGTAGCTGGTGAGGATTCTTTTGCTCAGGGTTTAACTTATGGGTGGAGAGAATTTAGAGCTCGCTTTAGCTTCCGGTATTTATGAGATGGGTCGCCTGCAGAAAATAGAAAGGATGGATATTGCGTGAGGAAGTTCTTGGTTTGGGGCTTAGCCCGTTTGTGGTAGAAAAGAGAGAAACAGAACAAATCATTGAGGAACCGGATATAGGAAAAGGAGACCTGCTCTGTTTTAATGAAGTTGGTTAGCGCTTCTCCATTTAGGAAGAATAGTCCGGCAAGGAAGACACTCCTTTTTTTCTGGTGAAGTAGATGTCACTGGTGCTGGTTGGTTACATTACTGACAGCTACAGCCTACAGATATTCGTCTCCCTGTTTCGCGAGGATAGGTACTTCCAACCCTGTTTTCTGAATGTCAATTCAGACAAGCATGTAATACGGGTGGAGGCGAGAATACAGAGAGTCGTTGGGGTGACTAAGATATGCAATTCAACGTTAGAGATCAAGCTTCTGCATTTCCACACGCATCATATTAGACGAATTGTAGTTTTCCCCCCTTTTGAACAAAGAACCATTCACAAAATATCATATGGTTACAGGCTTACATGGATGGTTGAAGTATGTGGTTTTAGGTCGTTGGATATGAAACTAGATGGAACGATCCATATTGGGTGAGTGTAATTTGAAATGTTATATTTTCTGAGTCCTCCCGTTATAAACCAGTAACTAGATGTAGTGGTCGTGATGTGGCTCTATGAGTACAATCGCATTATAGATGTTGCGACCAATGTATATAAGAAGTAGCGCAATACATATCAAAGTTTCTTAATGCATGATAGTAATGTGTGATGCGTACCAAAATTTCACTCATATCATAAATTTGGGAAAGACAAAGTAGGCATTAGTTTCATGTACACCATAATCACTCACCTGTCGAAATATATTCGTAAAATTAGCTTGTGCTCGGAATATTTCAACTTATATAAAAAAAAATTCAATCACATTCGGGTTAATTGAATCAAGATTTAAGGTTATGCGAATATGTGTTGTGTGCTGTGTTGTTCGCGGTAGTTGTCGTAGTTGGTAAAGTATGAGTAAAAATACTCAAACACACAAGGTGGGATGAGAAAAATTATATATGCCTAAGAAAAACATGATTATGCAACAGATCATAGTGATGAAATAAAACTAAAGATAATATAGAATTAGCTTTGTTCATGAATACTGAAAAGAGAAACAACAGTCTTATATAAGAAAATTAATTCCTTCCCCGATAAAAATCTTTGGGCTTAAATGAAAATGCACGAGGTGTGTCAATAGAAGAAGAAAAATGTACATTGAATAATAAATTAATTGGGAAACTAAATAATAAGGAAATTAACCCTTCCCTCGATTACTTTTTTTTTTTTGCCAAAGATATTCCGGAAGGAATAGCAAGATACGAAAATATACAAGACCAAACGGTCAGGGAAAAGAAGCAAGAGCAAAACGATGGTCAACCAGACGCTGAACCATCGATGCGAGGGCCTGTTTTGCCACGGAATGGGCAGCCTTGTTATACCTACGAGGAGCGAAATGAAACGAAACACGCGCAAGAGAAGTCCGCAGCACCTGAACCTCATTCAGAATTGCCCCTCCCAAAGCGTGATTCGAATCCTTCGCGGACACCATCCGGATAACGACCTGCGCATCACCACAAAACAGAACATTAGTTACGGAATGAGAAAGGCACCAACGCATGGCATCCCGAAGCGCCAATAGTTCAATAAGAAAAGGATCATGAACTTCCGCGTAGGAACGCCCATAAGAAAAAAAGACAACATTCTGAGATGCGAAGCCAACAAAACCGATGGCACCCCCAAAGGATTCCTTAGTAGCTCCGTCAAAATGAACAAGCATGAATCCAGAAGGAATAGTAGGTGGAGTTGAGTTGCGGCAAGCAGCCGGTGATGGAAGATGTTGCCGGCGTCTTGCAGTCCCTGATTCTTGAGCTGAAAACCATTCCGCAATTTGACAGTTAAACTGTCGCAACAAAGAGACCGGGAGGAATTGGATGAGTTCATAAGTAGATGAGCATCTCCCTTTCCAGATCCTCCAGTATAAGAACACTAATCTCGTCACCTCGGCGCGAGATAAGCCTGCATCTAAAAGCAAGAACCTCCAACCTATTGCAACGTGAAGTGAGTTTAAGTGGTGGAATAAATGACCAAAACCTGCTAACTCCCACAATTCAGTCGCGATTCGACATTCCAAAAAGCAATGAGATAAGGTTTCTTTAGGATGAGAACAAACAGGACATAGAAGTCCCTCAACATCTTCTTCCTCAATGAGCTCTTTATCCCGAAGGACATCTCGCACAGGTAAGAAACCTTTAACTATCCGCCATAGGAAAAATCGTAATTTAGGAGGAACAGAGAGGGCCCAAAAAGCTTTCTAAGCCCGAGAATCAAAGATAATAGGAATAGTAGAAAGATTACGCACAAATTCAGAAGCTGCAACATGGTAACCAGATTTTACAGAGTACTCACCTGAAGGTTCGTAATGCCATATAAGTTTGTCAACCATAGGGAGTTGAGGAAGCGGGATCATAAGGATTACCTTAACTGTGGCATCATCAAAAAGAGACTGCAGTATTGTGGGAGTGTCTTGTAAAGCAACCAAAAAATAAAAACAAAAATCCCTTCTAGAATCCTCTGTTCACACGTTCCTCTGTTTCATGTTGCCACTCTTCTCACTCTCTTCAATTTCCTATCTCCTTGTAACCAAATATCCTTCTTCCTCCTACCCACTCCTCTCCTTACCGATTTCTTTCATACCTCTTTTATTTCAATCTTCCTCTTGTTGATTTACCCATTTGGGCATACATGGTTCAAAAGGGTTGGATGGATCTCGATTGAGTCAAGTAAAATTATATTCCTACCATACCCAACAATGTTGCCCTACCTAATGTCTGGTCCTGATATGGCTCACCTGAGAGTCGCTCTCACGGGTTGTCATGTCCCCTTCTCCTTTTTCAATCAAAACCTTGTAGAGAAGATCGATTAGTCGCAAGAAATGTACCGAAGCAGAATCTTAGAGGTGAGTATAACAATTTAGCTGAAATTGTGGAAGATGAAGCTCAGAGATTTCTGAGTTCACCAGTTCATATAGCATTCAAACACAATTATAGTAATACGCCACTTGTCCAGCGTTCATAGGCCATTCAGAAAATTAAACAGTTCTTTCTTAACGGCTAACAAGAGAATATATAAAACGGCAACGTAAAGGAAACGTAGTAAGTTGTTGGTGAAACGACCTCGTCTCTTGTAAACGACACCGTCTTCTTCTTTTGTTTCTTCACTTCAATTCAATCCTGAGACTTCTCGGATTTCTCTGCTGCAACACTTCCTTCTCTGCAACTCTGATATCCCCCCCTCAAGTTAGTGGCTCCAACATATTGGTGACACTTAACTTGATCAACAATTCTTTCATTCGAAACCTGTCAAGACCCTTAGTAAAAAGATCTGCCAGCTGGTTAGCAGTTCCAACATGTTGTAATTTGATCAAACCACTTTTAATCCGATCCCTGGTCACATGTATGTCAATCTCTATATGTTTTGTCCGCTCATGGAACACTGGATTCTCTGCAATATAAATTGCAGATTTGTTGTCACAAAAGATGGGAATAGGTAGAGGTACCTTTACTGTCAATTCTACTAGGAGTTGTTTCAGCCACTGTACTTCACATACAACATGAGCCAAAGCTCTATATTCTACTTCAGAGGAGGATCTAGACACTGTAGTCTGTTTCTTTGTTCTCCAAGTTAGTAGTGAATCACCAAAGAAAGTGCAGTATCCTGTTGTTGATCTCCTAGTGTCTGGACAGCTTGCCCAGTCTGAGTCACAGTAACCAGCCAACTTTAGTTCATTCTTACTGCTGAAGTGAATTCCTTGACCTGGAGATGACTTCAAATACCTCAAAACTCTATAAGAAGCTTGCATGTGTTCCTGACAGGGATTCTTCTGATACTGGCAAAGCTGCTGCATAGCAAAAGCTATGTCTGGCCTGGTAATGGTCAAGTAATGCAACCTGCCAACCAATCTCCTATAAGCTTCTCCATCTTCCATTGGTCTTCCCTGAGCAGACAATTTTACTTTGGTGTCCATAGGTGATTTGCATCCCTTTGAATCCAGATAACCTGTGTCTTTCAAAAGTTCAACACAGTTACTTCCTTTGACACACATCAAGACCATGATCATTTCTAACAACCTCCAAACCCAGAAAATATTTGAGAGGTCCTAGTAGTTTGATTTTAAACTCTTTGCTTAGAGCCAACTTAACCTGCTCAATGTCCTTTTGTGCATCTCCTCCCAGGATGATATCATCCACATACACCAATAGGACAACTACTCTTCCATGCACCCATTTAGAGAAAAGAGAGTAATCAGAGTTTGATTGAGAAAAACCATTCTTGAGAAGAAAGCCTGCAAGTCTAGCAAACCATTGCCTGGAGGCTTGTTTAAGCCCATATAAAGACTTTTTCAATCTGCAAACAAGGTTCTTACCTTCTGGATTAGACACTTCAACTCCCAATGGAATCTTCATATACACCTCATCATGCAATTCACCATGTAAGAAAGCATTAGATACATCTAACTGCTCCAAAACCCAATTCTTCACACTAGCTACTGCTAACAGTGCTTTAACAGTGTTAATTTTAGCAACAGGTGAGAAGGTGTCCAAAAAGTCAATCCCATAGACTTGATTGAAACCTTTAGCTACAAGTCTTGACTTACACCTCTCAAGTGAGCCATCTGGTTTAAGTTTGATCTTAAATACCCACTTATTTCCTATTGCTTTCTTCCCTTTTGGCAGCTCTACAATGTCCCAGGTTTGATTCTCCTCTAAAGCAAAGATCTCAGACTTGACTGCTTGATTCCAGATATCATCCTGTATAGCCTCATAGTATGATCTAGGTTCTTGCATATTGATCACACTTAGAACATAATGCCTGTCAGCTGAGTTCAGTTTATCAACACTTAAGCAAGGTGGATACCTGGTAGAAGCATTGGCTTTACCAAAAGCTCCAAATTTGAGGGAAGGATCCAGTTGAGAATCCTGAAATTTGGATGGCAAGTTGACTTTCCTTTTAGGTAAGGAGCTGCCATCAGCATTATGCTCATCTACATCATGGTCAGCCTGAGATATAAGTTCATGTTGGTCACTGTCAAAGTATTCATAATGATCTTCAACAGGGGACAAAACAGGCTCAGTAGTCCTCCCCTTCATCAAAGGATGAAACAATTTGAGACTGTCTAGAGGTAGAGGATGGAGTGTTATCTGGTGTAGGGCTGGTATGTGAGGAAGAAGGTTGAGAAGAAAGTGTAGAAGGTATAGAAATAGGTGGAGCAGAACTGTTTGTTGGTGGTGTATAGGTAGGTTCAGGAGATTCAGATGTGGAAATAGATGGTTCAGAAACTTTGTATGGAAGGATGTTCTCATAGAAGATAACATCTCTAGAGAAGAAGACCTATTTAGTGTGAAGGTCTAAGACTTTATAGCCTTTTATACCAGAAGGAATCCCCAGGAAAATGCATTGTCGAGCTCTAGGTGCAAATTTGGTTCTTCCATGGGACAATGTGCTGGCATAACATAAACAACCAAACACTTTAAGGTGAGAAAGAAAGGGTGATTTGTCATACAGAAGTTCATAAGGAGATCTATTGTCTAGAATGGGTGTGGGAATCCTGTTAATGAGATACACTGCATGCAAGATACAGTCACTCCAAAAGGTAAGTGGAATCCCTGACTGGAACCTTAAGGACCTAGCCACATTCAAGATGTGCTGGTGTTTCCTTTCTACACGAGCATTCTACTCTGGGGTCTCTACACAGCTCATCTGATGCTCAATACCTTCTTGTAAGAAATAATCACACATAGCAAATTCCTTCCCCTGGTCACTTCTGATGACCTTAACTGTTGTACCAAACTGGTTCTTAACCAGATTGCAGAACCCTTCCAGTAAACCTCTAACCTCACTCTTATGTTTCATTAGATACACCCAAACAGCACGTGAGAAATCATCCACAACAGTTAAGAAATAATTGAATCCATCATAAGAAGTTACTGATAATGGACCCCAAATATCCACATGAAGTAAATGAAATCTGTTTGGTGCAACATTGGTGCTAATTGGAAAGGACAAACGTTTGTGTTTGGATAAATGACAAACATCACAATGTTTTATCTTAGAACTAGTTACATTAGGAAAACTATGGCTAAGCAGGTTCAGTCTTTCATGGCTGGGATGCCCTAGTCTCCAATGCCACAGCTCTAGTTGGTGAGGATTGAAGTTGAAAAGTGTGGCTACATGAGGCTGAGTAGGTGAACTGGAGAATGGTTGTTGAGTGGATGGAAAGGAGAGATGGTAGAGGCCTTTAGTTTCTTTTGCTAAACCAATCTTCTTCTGACTTAGTAGGTCCTGGATAGAACAATGGTCAGATTGAAAGTGTAAGGAGACAGGTAAATCATGTGTAAGCTTGCTTACTGAAATTAAGTTAAAGGTAAAACTAGGCACACATAAGACATCATAAAGGATCAATCCTGAAGGTAAAGTGACTGTTCCTATGTGTGTAACTAGCACTTGTGTGTTGTTGGGAAGGTTGACAAAGGAATTTGGGATAGACTTGTGGTCTGTGAAAAGGGATAAGCTACAGGCTATATGGTCAGAAGCTCCTGTATCTAAAATCCACAAGTCATGTAAATGAGAAGGGCTAGGTTTAAAGGTAGACAAAGTGTATTTACCTGAGTGGTTTGGATATGAAGGCAAATACTGGGAAACAGAATAGGCTTGATGGTTGATGGTTGGTGAGGTTGGTGGTGATGGGAAAGAATTAGCACCAATTTGCAACATGTATCTCAAACGATTCATTTCTTCAGCTGTGAATCCAGGTGGGTTGGGTACCATGTTGCTCTCTGCACTTAAAATTCCCTCTGACTGAGTTTCTGTAGTGGAACTCTGAACCACTGAACCAGCAAACCTTGGAGTATTTGAACTGGAACTTGAATTAGAGCCTGAATTGCTAGATTTCTCCTTCTGTTCAGAATTCTTCTTCTTCAAAATCCAACAATCCTCAATGTAATGGTTTGTCTTCTTGCAGTATCTGCAATACTTCTTCCCTTGTCCTGATTCCTCAGTTCCCTTGCTCTGTTTTCCTCCAACTGCTAGAGCCACAGATTGTGACTTCTTACCACCAGAGTTTCCTTCTCCTTTAAGTTTCTGCTCATGTTGTAGCAGGTCATCAAGTGCAGTAGAGACTGTAGGCAAAGGCTTCTGCATCAGCAGCTGAGTTTTAACCATTTCATAATCTGGGTTTAGCCCTCTAAGAAACTTGATTAAGTAATCAGTCTCTTGCTTCTGTATAAAGGCTGCTACTGCAGGACAGGGAAGTGGGTTTCCTGGTACACAGGGACAAGGAACCACTGGACTGTACTCAAGGTATTCCTCCCAAAGACCCTTCACTTGAATGAAGTACTGATTGATGGTCTTAGTGCCCTGTTTACAAGCAGCAATTTCATCCTCAATGTTGATGATTCTGAGAGCGTTTGGTTGACCAAAACGCCTCTTTAATTCATCCCATAGTGCCTTAGCATTTGTATGGGTTAGCATAGCTCTCTTAAGATCCTTGTTCATAGAGTTCTGAATCCAGCATAAAACTAGGGTATTACAAGCATCCCACAAGGTGAAGCGATCTGTGCCGCGTGGTGGAATGGGTATGCTTCCATCAATGAAACCCAACTTATGCTTGGTTTTCAGAACAACTTGGATCGATCCACATTGTATATTTTGTGCCATCAAACAACTCAGAAACTAAAGACTGGCACATATTCTCTTTTGGGTTGAGGTAAAATGGGTTACCAAAGACGATTGTTTCTGGTTGCTGTGCCTGTTGATTGAAAGATCCAAATTGCACTTCAGACGCCATAGCTGTAGATCCTGCAGCACCACTGGGCGGTGTATTTGGAGGAGTGTTCGCCATGGCGGCGGCTGCGGCGTTAGGGTTTGAGGAACCCTAGATCTTTCGCTCTGATACCATAACAATTTAGCTGAAATTGTGGAAGATGAAGCTCAGAGATTTCTGAGTTCACCAGTTCATATATATATATAGCATTCAAACACAATTACAGTAATACGCCACTTGTCCAGCGTTCATAGGCCATTAAGAAAATTAAACAGTTCTTTCTTAACGGCTAACAAGAGAATAAATAAAACGGCGACGTAATGGAAACGTAGTAAGCTGTTGTTGGTGAAACGACCCCGTCTCTTGTAAACTACACCGTCTTCTTTTGTTTCTTCACTTCAATTCAATCCTGAGACTTCTCGGATTTCTCTGCTGCAACACTTCCTTCTCTGCAACTCTGTCATCTCCTTCAACTCTGATAGAGTATGCAAATTAAAGTGAGTTTGGTGTTGACTTAAACAAACTTGGGCAAGCGACAGGGCTTCGGAGAGTAAGACACACATACGGGAAATGGTGCATGCAAAGTGAGAAATCGTTAGATCTGGGAACTCTCCATGTTTTGCCTCATCTTTGCTTCGGCTTCTCTTTCATATGCTGTCGTGGGTCATTACATTTCTGTTTTCTTATTATGATTCGAGCCAAAACTTTAAATTCAGTGGGAAATATATAACACTGAGAGCTTAAGTTTTATTACTGATTTTAGGGGGAGTTCTATGGTGACGGCACCTGTGCCGGTGGTGAATCCGTGCAGTGGAAGTCAGATTGCTTTGGTATTGGTTATTGGTCTCGATTTGATTAAATAATAAATGTATAAAACAAAAATAAAAAGAAACGCTGAAAATGTCCCTGAATCCTTCCCTTCCACGACTCCTTTTACCCATCCTTTTCACACTCTCAATCCTCCTGGTAAAGAAATGCAATCCCAACTCTTCACTCTCCCCGTCGGCCATCCAAATCGCCATCATCGTTACCGGTGGCTGGTCATCACCACCATCATCATTTTTCGCTGCCACCTAGGGATGGCAATGATTCGGGTTGGGTGGGGTTTTGCCAAACTCAAACCCATGGGTTTATCCGTGAAAAAACCAGGGGTAAAACCCACTGGGTTTGAAAAACTCAAACCCAACCCAACCCAACCCGCTGGGTATCCATGGGTTTTTGTCGTAAAAATTTACAATAACAAGTTACTATCAAAATTAAAGTCAAATATCAATCTCTCAATACAAATTATCCATATATAAAACACCATTCTAGAAAATTCAAGCAAATCACAATTTAACTATACAAATTGTTCAACACCAATCTAGAAAACTCAAGAAAATTGAAGCAAATCACAAATTATCCATAAATAACATGATTAGTTGAAAGCTTCTTTCTCCTTGTCAATTAAGTTTCTTCACTCTCCACTCGATACAATCAACTTCATTCTACACAATTGGAAAGAAAAAATTAGACATGTCTCCACAAACATAAATAAGATTAGTTGTTTAGAATATTAAATATACCGAGAAAATTAATTATATGGGTGTGGGCGGGTACCCATGGGGAGGGTTTAACTAAACTCAAACCCAACCCAACCCGGTGAATAGTGAACGGGTTTAAACCCAAACCCTGCCCAAAACCCGCCAACATGGGTTTTACCCGCGTTGACCGGGTTGGGTCGGGTGGGTACCCGTGGGTTTGAGTTTTGTTGCCATCCCTATTGCCACCTAGTCTCCCTCGATGTGAAGAAAAAAACCAGATCCCCTCCGTGACTCTGTCAATTTCAATCATCTGGTCGTTGTTCGTCGCAAATCATCACAAATATAGCCATTGCCACTCACACCCTGCCTCCATACGCTCCGATGTACCTCTTGAGGGGCGACGAGGATGAAGATGAATGGGATATGAAATTTTATTTTATATTCTATATGAAGAATACAAATCTTAAAATTTTTTATAATAATAATAAAACCCTGACCAGGCCTTCAAAACAGTCGTCTAGCGTTGTTAATTATTTGGTGCGGGTGAGGGAAAGAAAATGACAATGGATGCAGGATAGAGTAACCCTTATGCAACAATAACCCCATAGTAAGAAATCTTCGGGGAGTTCAATCCTTTAGGAAGCCATTTCAGATAATGAGAACTGCAAGAACAGACTGTGCTAAAGTAATCCTTGCAGCCAAAGATAACGTTGCAACTTTCCATCCTGCAAGCCGAGCATCAATCTTGTCAATTAAATCAATGTAAGTTGACTTTGAGACTCGGTCGTGAATAACCGGGACCCCTAAATAGAGATGCATTAGACCAACCGCGAGGACAGACAATGTTGAATGGTAGGCCTCAGTGTCCACGGGAAATAGAGAAAACTAAGATTGAAGCACGGGATATTGATCTATAGACTAAGACTCTACCTCTACCTACTGCGCTGATTGCTCCTTCAATCGCTCCAGCAAAAGCGGAAATAAAGCCTATTATCTCACTTGAGATGCGTTCAAGACACGTGTGACAGGCTGCATGGTTAATCTGTGCTTCTCTCCGGATACCAGCCGCAGGATTCCCCTCGCAAAGTAACCGCGCTCCCTAAGCCGAGTTGGCATGGAAGAACTGCTGCGTAGCAGTAAATCCTTCTCTATACAAGTTCTCGGACGAGGTTTTTGAACAGAACTTTGATAGGTGAGAAGTATTCCTTCTATTCCACTCAAGTTTATCTGTATTCTTTTGCTCATATTCCATGATGAATTAAAGTAAGCGCAGCTATCCCCTATATGTCTAAGACCTTTTCAAGGGCATACTCTCTCAGGGGTATATATACAACCAGACTACCCGGTCTTTCTTTGTTTGAAGTCATCATTCTTACGGCAAAGCTAGATGCCCGATCTTTATTTCCCCAGCTCTTGGTCTTCGGTCCTACTTCTGCGGTTAGGCAAACTTTACTCTTAAGAGACTGAATTGGGCATAGAATCTCATTCCCACTAGATCCACTGAAGCTATATTGGCATATTTCTTCGAATTTGAATCTTCCTTACAGGTGAAATCCTGCAAGCCTTTTTAGATCTTCCAAGGGCATACATATTTATTTTCTTCATGTTGTTTGGGAGTCAAAGCAGTGGTGAGACACTATATCTGTGTCTGGTAAGCTTACGAGTTCGATTGTGCGACGGAAGAAGGTCAGAGGTCTACTATCCATAGTTAGTAAATACTCCGTTTAATACACTATATGTACCCATACATACTTTATCCATTTAAAACTTCCATATTCGTATTATTTCCAAGCCGTTTCATTAGTTTCCATTCATTTGACGGCTCCTGTACTAAACACGTATAAAACCTGTATAACAGATATCCGTATTTAATGAAATAAATTATCAACTTTACTATATTTTACATATTTATTACTTATAAAAATAATTAATTTTATATAGTTATGATTATTAACGTACTATGAAACGTAACATTAGCTAAGAGACAAAGTATAATACCCGTACGCATTTTATAAGTAACTTTCCTATACCGTATTTTACGAACTATGCTACTATCTATATATCACATGAAGAATTCACATTGATATGAGGATGGAGTTGTCTAGAGGTAAGGAGCTAACTGGTTGTAATCAATATTGGACTGAAGTTAGTGCATCAACTGCTTAAACAGCTTTGGCGAAGTCAGTACTAGATTTTTCCCTCTCTTTAGACTAAATAACAGCATTCCTCAACCTTCGGTCGAGTATATTGCATTCCTCAACCCGATTAGGCATTTAGCCCTTCAAAATGGATTTCTTGTTAGTGGAAAGTGCAGCTCTTCAGTCTACCCATTGTCACGAGTCAAAGCCCACACCCTTTTCTTTCAATGATTCTTGTGCAATCGGAATTTCGCTAGACCCACATTTCTATCTTCTCGACCAGTTCTGGTGAAAGAAGTCAAGCTAGAAGTCACTAAAGAAGAGACCTCTGCTTCCTCGGCTAAACTCTTTCTCTGGGGTGACATGTCGGACCACAACTGGGCAGGAACCCTTCATTCCATTATGCCTGAAGCTCGTCTTCAAAATGGATCTAATTGCACTTCACGCCCCGTGTTTTCCTTACGTCTTTTGGTCCGCCACCAGAACTTGGCTGAACCATCAAGATACATGGCAGGCGTATTCACCGATGCCTCCTCGGACGTAGTCCGACAAGCCCCTCCATATCCAAAAAGTCTTTGATTCTTAGCATCTCGAGTGCCAACGAATGCCTTTGATTTCACTTGATTCGAACCATCTCCGCCGCGCCTCTTCGACGGCTCTAGCCTACGAGTCCTTCCCACCAGCCATGGTTTGGCCTAACCTTGGGTCAGATAGAAGGCGTGAGCCTATGGATCAAGGAGAGGGGTCAGGAGCTGGACGTGGACGTGGAACTGGGGGAGAAAGAAACCAAAGGGCCCAGGCCAGTCTTTCACTTCCATTGGAGGAAGAGTCAGAGCCGGCCAATGAGGACTCCTTTAGTGCCTTACAGGGTGGTCTCATAGATCTAAATGAACTTTATCTTTCCCCGGGGAAGACATCTATTTTTATAATGAGAGAGGCATGGACCAATGCAATGGTGTCAAAAAAAGGCTTTTTTTTGACGATAACGGATGGTTGTAATAAGGGGGTGACGCCCGGGGAAGATATCCACCCCTTTTGAATTAGACTTTCCTTACTTGAAAGTCAACGCAGTAGGAGTTTAAGTTCCTTATGCGAGCAACTTCGTTCCTTCGTCCTTCTCTCTTCGGTCGAACTCTCCCCCTCTCACTTTGTTCGAGCATATTGATAACTTTAATTATATTCATGAATAATATGGAACAAATCCGCTTATGCTTAATTATATCAACGTAGTTGAAATCCCCATAGATCCAAACAGAAGAATTGAATTAGTTTCACCTAAGTAGCTAACTTAAGTACCACTTCCATATTAATTGTTGTCATCTAAATAGCAAACTTCATTTTGGAGGATGTGATAATTGCCCGACATCTTCCACATCATCTTGCTTAGCAGTAGTGCCTCAATAGTTCCGTCTTGTGGTGACTTGTGAGAGGTGAAGCAATTGTCATAAAAGTTCAGTGAGAGAAATTGATACTTTTTTAATTTGTTTGTTTAATCCTACGATTGTGAAACATATGCTTATTTAAAAATAAAATAAAAACTATATTGGAACAATGTATCAAAAAGATATATACGAAGTTAGTATAACCTTAGTAGGAGCAGAATCATCAGTGCATCTTGCTTGATTGTCACAAGAGTGAATTTTTTTTTGTATTCTTTGAAGAAGTTTTGTGAAGTAATAGATACGTGGAAAGTTAATTGCAAGCCTTCCAAGTGTAGGAGATGGTTAGGCGTATCCTTCATCACCACTCTCAACATATAATTTACTGACAAATTTATCAAAATATCTAGTATCCTCGTGGTCGAAGATGACAAATGTCCCTCCCACACATGAGTAACATGTTATGGAAAAATAAATTCATTACAAATAGGTTTTTCCAAATATCATGACACATTATTGAAAAGTTATTTGGATAAATTGCCAAAATCTTTTCAATAAACAGCATCAAAGTTAATTTGATAAATTGAGGGGAGATCATCAATTTTGAATGTTGAAAACCCAAAAACCTCCTAGGTACACTTGTGTAATTTTCGAAGGATATGAAACTACTTTTCTTTCAATAGTACAAATATGGTAACAAGAATCTTATCCCATGAATCAGGGCCCTTGGTTGCTTCGGATCTGATTATCCTATCAATTTAAGTACACTTATAATAGTGATTGACCCAAAGCCCCGGATAAATATTTTGGCCCGGCCTGTTCTAATGTCATGCATTCTCTTTTTCTTCTTTTTTAATATAAAATATTAAAAATTATCGCTTTTCTTCCTCCAGAGAGTGGGACCTAAAAGGACGCCCCTGCCTGATACTGAGAATGATCTATCGTAATGGTGTTTTAGTCACTTGATCACTTTCCTCGTTCAAATTACAACCAACCTAATGGTGTTTTGGTTTTTTTACTGTGCAACTAAGACTTCGGTTGGGAGTGGATTAGGTTTTGTCGGATTTACTGGGAGAGCACTCCATTGATGTTTGGGCTTTTTATGATTATATGGACGATGCATTCATCATCGAACTCATTTCATTTAGGGATGCTCTACGATAGTGTCTTTATCATTCAGTAACTAACATTTTATTCTATGGAGTTACGCAGGTGATTCATCCACATCATTAATTTGAAGGATTTGACACACACTTGGGGTGGAAGCCTCATTTACGATGTTCAGGGTCTACGCTCATCTCTGCTCTGCAGGATGTCTCGTTTCACCTTCGTTGCGTAAGTATAATAGGGTTGTCATCTCATGGAAAATAAATCCTTTCATTGTTGGATTGTCATTAGCGATGTCAAAATATTCACATCCGTGGATACTCGCTCGAATTCGATCTCACCTGGCCTGGTAGGGAAAAACCAAACCCGAACGATTTTTGGTGGGTATGGGTAGAATTTAAATTCAAATGTGGCGCATAATGTGTGAACAAGGATTTTTCACTATTCAACCCAAACTCACCTGATTAACATATTTGTATGCATATTCTATATAAACGATCTTTATTTTTCTCATCATATTTTATATTTTTTTTATAAATATATAATATTTTCATAAAATTTTGTTATCTTCAACTATTATTTTCCATTCTAGTGATTTATTGTTGTACATTCCACTTATGTAATGCCAATGTACGTGTAATTGTTAAAATGTTAGTTGAAGTTATAAAGAAAAATTACTACCCTTGAATAACAATGGATATCTGAAACTCTATCAGGCATGAACATGGTTTTAATTTTCTATCCGATTTTTGTATGAGTATGCATATCATGAATATGAATATCTACCCCGACCCGATTCTTTGCAATCACTACACTAGCGGATCCAGGGGGTGGCCACCCCCAGGCCCCGGCCCAGCCCTCCTCTGAATCCGTAGTTACTATAGTCCTTATGAAAATTTTGATTTTAGACATTCAATCTAGTGTTATTCTATGATAAGATTGGGTTTAACTAGAAAAATTATCAAGTTGAACATATTCAAATCACTATTCTAAATTTAGCCTAGAAATTTTAGCCCCAAAGATTATGCGTCTTAAAAAAACAATGAAACCTAAAATTCTAAAAAGTTAAAAACGTAAAAGACTAAAAGAAATATGAGGTTTGTTCCCTTACAAATTTACTAAAGCAGCTGGTGTGCAGGGATGGACACACAATGTACATTGATTAGTCGATTGATTTATCTAGTGTTGATGTTGCTCGTTTCAACAGCTACTACGAAGAGAACCTTTTTAACAATGAGACATGTGAGAACTGATTTGCTCAACAAAATGAGCGATGAATTTCTCGCCGATTGCTCAAGTATTTTATTTGAAACAGTGTATACTATTGGTATGGATGTAGACTTCATTATTGATGCATTCCCTAAATTAAAATACAGTTGTGTACAATTTACAGTTGTGTTCTAATTTTCTAATGAAATGCGGCCCAGTGCTCTTCTGTGTTCTGGATCGCCCGCTGAATCACTAATCATTATTTGATCCAAACACAACTCTTTCTTTAGTTCTACTTTGTAATTCACCGGCAAAACTGCTATATGCATAGTCATACATCTCTAAAAAACAAATGGTATCTTAGTCAACAACATCAGCATAACAAGAAAATTTTAGTCCCTCTATTGCTTGATGTAGAGGGGTTTATTGATATAACAACAATTTTGGTGGCTGATTAGACTAGTTGCCTAAACACTAGTGACTGGGCCTGGATTTAGCTAAAGGCTTCCTTGTTCCAAGACCAAGAGAGAATTAGGGAGGCCAATGATTTTTGGCTCATTAATTAGCTAAAGGCTAAAGGCTTGACTTGTTAATGAGCTCACCAGCTCTATTCGAGTTTGGCTCATTAATTAGCCTGTGATATAGCTTCTAGCTCAGGTATCATATCATTTTGTTTATAAATTTTAATTTTTTATTTGATGTTACATAATTTCATTTTAAAATATAAACGAGACATGCCAAAGGTAACATAGTCTAGTGGTGAAACCACTGGACTAATTGAGCTTTAGATGTGGGAGGTCCAGAGTTCGATTTCCAGTGGCGTCACTTAAGCGTTCCCGGTGACACCCTTGGTATCGGAGGCGAAGCCTCCCCAATGTTGGTAGCAGAAAGCCCCGGTTAGTATCAGGTACCCCCTGTCAATGTAGTCAAAAGTGAGTTTCTACGTAGAAACGTATTGGTGATCTATAAGCGTAAAATCGTATGTTTTTAAGTTTTAAAGCGAAGTTTTTAACTACAGAAGTTATAAAAACTGAGATTTTGTGTAGAAGCGTTTTAGTGACTTAAAAACGTAAAATCGTAAGTTTTTAAGTTTTAAAGCGAGATTTTAACTACATTGCCCCCAGTGGTTTAGTAGTGTACTTGGGCACCGGGCCATTCCGCCCATGGGCTAGCACGGCACGACACGGTTAGAGCACGACACGAACACTGGCAGGAAATAAATGGGCCAGCCCGGCACGAGCACGAATAATTTATGGGCCGTGTCGGGCCTAAACTTCATGGGCAGGGGCATGGCACGGTATATAAGTGGGCCGTGTCGGGCCTAATATTTTCGAGACTTTATTGAGTATAAGAACGGACATGTCACGAAAATAATATTTATTTGATAGAAAATAAATATAAAAGAATTATAGGTTCAAATATTACAAAACACAAGTAGAAAACTAATTATTTGTTGTTGTTAGAAATGTTATAAAGATATATACGTAATTACTAACATAAGTAAAAATGGACAAAGAATTAAACAAATCTAAATCACACTCGCTATACTTCCAATTTTCTTTTCCCCCTTATTTGTTACTTTTCTCAAACATTATCGGTTAATACTATCTTCCCCCGTCCAATTTTCACCTTCTTCTTCATTCTCTCTTTTGTTTTCGTCTTTTTCATTAAACACGAATATGAGCATGACACGAACACGAATAGGCACGATACGATTCGAACCGTGTCCGGGCCTGGGCCGGGCCTAGCAAAGTTTACAAATAGGCTTGCATGACACGACACGAAACTGACGGGCCGTGCCAAGCACGACACGAAATAAATGGGCCCGAAGCGTGCCCGTGCCGTGTCGGCCCAAACACGGCCCAACGCCCATGTACATTTAATAGGCCCCGCTGTCGCTCAAACGACACGTAAGGCTGAGGTTCCCTTGGTTATCAAATAAAAAAGATATAAACGAGACATATTCGGTCATCTCTTAGTACTCTTAAACATTATATATGCCAATACAAAAAATCCAACAAATGTATGAATTATCAAACAAGCCAACTAATGAGTTATTAATCAATTTGCAATTAAGTTGCTAGTAGAGGAGGCTCTCAGCTAAATTACGAGTTAGCTTAACAAGCCACCAAGTCGAGTTACCTTGCGAGCCTTACAAGCCGGACAAACGCAGTTTAAGCTTAACTCATTAGTAAACGAGCCCAGTACCACCTTGAGGGTTTCGAGTTTGAGATGTGACAAGGTCCCAGGTTTGATCCCAGTACCACCTTCTTGGTGTTCCCAGAGACACCCTTGGTATAGGAGACAAAGTCTTCCCGATAATGGTAGCACAACGCCGGGCACTGCGCCGGGACAATGTCCTTGATGGTTAGTATGCATGTACTCACAGGTTTAGTAGGCTCCGCTGTCACTTATGTGACATGTGGGTTGTTGATGTTCCTGGATTATCAAATAAAAAAATTAGTAAATGAGCCGAGGCTCTCGAACCAGATTTTTCCGAACATCCGCTTAGCTCAAGAGAAACGAAACGTTAAGAAAAGAATGTAATACGGTGGGTTCAAGGAATCGAATAACTGCAAACCCAAAAGATCTGTATCCTTTCTTTTCTGATTTCTGAACTTCTTCCAATTCCCCCAAAAAAATCTAACCCCTAACCCAGCCGCCGCCTCACATCTATCGTACGGCCAGAGGTCCGGCGACACCCCCCGAAACCGAACATGGAAGCCGGCGGCGGGAATCTCGATCTCAACGACACCGCCAATTCCGCTCTCGTCGATTCCTTCTGCGAGATCACCTCCTCCACCAGGCAGGAAGCCGCTTTCTTCCTCGAGAGCCACCAATGGGATCTCGACGCCGCCGTTTCCACCTTCCTCGACAACGATAACGCCGCTGTCGCTGTTGCCCCTTCTTCTGCTGTACCTGCTGCTCCTCCGACTGGCGGTGGTGGCGGGGGCACTCCTTCTCCGACTGATTCGCCGGACGAATCGATGTCTCCTAACTATTCCCCCTCTCAGTCTCCTGCTAGGTCTAGGTCACGATCCCGCTCCCTGTCCCCTGCTCCCGCCACTATGTCTAGGTTGCCTTACCAGCTGAGGCAGAGAGGGGAGAAGAAGAATAAGAAGACTGGTACGGCCGGTGCTAGTGGGAGTGGGAATCGTGGTGGAATAAGGACTTTGGCTGATCTCAATCGGATCCCTGGCGGTTCTGATAGCGATGACGACGACGACGAGCCGCAGGAGTATTACACCGGCGGCGAGAAGAGGTAAAAGAAAAGAAACCAATTAGTGCCCTAGCTAAGTGTCAGAAAAGTTTGAAATTTGGCTTCAATGTCGATACTATGGAGGCAACTTTTTTGGATTTCAGCCGTTTATTGAGCAATTCTTGAACTCTTAGCCATGAATGGTGTGCTTGTTTGCTGCTGATTCCAGTACTGATGAATGATTGGTTTTTGGCTGATGATGTTGCTTCATTGACATTACTTGGTACAGCGGCATGCTAGTCCAAGATCCTACAAGGCGCTATGATGCCGATTCCATTTTCGACCAGGCTAGAAACTCAGGAGCTGTTCAAAGGCCCGAGGATTCTTCTGCTCGATCTTCTTCAGCTTCGAGAAGCTTTACTGGAACTGGGAGACTACTCACTGGAGAGACAGTTCCTACTTCTGCTCAGCCACCTGAGTCTGTCAATCATACCATCACTCTCTGGAGGAATGGCTTCACTGTAAATGATGGGCCTTTGAGGAGGCTGAATGATCCTGCTAATGCTGACTTCCTTGAGGTAAATGCTCATGAACTATATGTTCTTGCCACATTCTGTTGTGGTTTGCATTATTGTGAATACTCTATAGTGCTTGATCTCGCTCTTTAGCTTCCCCACAAGTCTAGTTTCCAGGTTGCTTCTGCCATGTATTCAGTTCATGTTCACAGGTCTTTTGGTTAGGTTTGGCCGGTTAAAATCTGCTTATGTCTCATGCATTAAAGCGTATAAACAATACACGCAAGAAAAGTTGGTTTCGAACGTGTTCCTTCACGTTTCTGACGCAATTGTCTATACAAATGCACTAACATGAACAATATTTTCGGTAAACAATAACATGCAAAATAAAATAAAAAAGCTTGTGATTGAGAGAAATAGCATTCCAAAGAGAATGGTTCTGTGTTGCTGGCATATAGCCCACTTGAGAAGCTGGACTATCTGTATCTTTTTCTTGCCTTGTATGTGAAGTTTGAATCTTTCAATGGAAAGATATGATGTTGCATCTGTGTAAGATATTGCCGTTATGTTGCTACTCGTCTATATCATATTGCAGAGTGTTCAGAGGTCTGAGTGTCCAAGAGAGCTGGAACCAGCAGACAGGAGAACTAAAGTCCATCTCGCCCTAGTGAGACGGGATGAAAACTACGCAGTGAGCTCTCATCTTCGCCCTCTATCTATCCATTTGTCAATTCATCTCGTTTATCAATTCCCCTCCCATCCCTTTCAATGCAGGAACCAGCAAAGAAGAAACCAGCCTTCCAAGGCGTGGGCAGAACTCTGGGAACTACCGGTGATGGTGGAGCCTCAGCATCAGAGTCACCAGCAGCCCCACCGTTGAAGTCTGCTCCAGCTCCCTCAGTCGGTCTCACCGTAGATTCTTCGTCACCAACAACATCGATTCAGCTCAGGTTGGCAGATGGGACCCGGATGGTGTCCCGGTTCAACCTCCACCACACCATAAGAGATGTGCGTGCTTTCATCGTGGCATCGAGACCTGGTGAAGCTCAAGATTTCCAGCTGCAGACAATGGGGTTTCCTCCCAGACAGCTCACTGATCCTGATCAGACAATAAAGGACGCTGAGATCGCGAATTCGGTCGTGATGCAGAAATTCTAGATCAGATTACACTGGTAACCTCATTGCTAGGTAGGCCAGTGGCATTGTTAGCTAAGACGATTCGTTTTTCCGTTTCTCAACTGTTATTATTGTCGGATGGATTCAGGCTATGTGTAGGAAGATTGTCAATCACACTATTTATTCAAATCAATTTGAATTAGCTTGAAGAGTTTCTTTTATATATTTCTGAAGCAATCCGGAGAAAAGGGCAACGATTATTATCAATTTATTTGAAAGGCTTGCCAGGCCCACGGCGAGGCTTACCAGAATTTGAAGGAGTTTTATCTGTTGAATCCTGTACATATATAAATGAAAGGCTTTGTTTAAAATCTGAGTTTTAGAAAATTCTGGATTTGTGATGAATTTGATTCAATATGAACTTACAGGCTGTCTGTTACTATCAAATGAATCGAGAATTCATTGTAAAATGAATTATCATGTAAATCGAGAATTCATTTCATTGTAAAATGAATTACCATGTAAAATTCATTGTCAATTGAAATTTTATGTTTGGAATGTCATATTCAAATCTTTAGAAATAAAATGAATTCCACCTACCCTCTCCTTGATAGATTACAACAGCCACCTTAAGACCCCCCCTCCCCCCAGCCGGAAGGACCTGTGGATTAAAAGTAGGGCAGAAGGGTGAGTGAACGGAACCCAACTATCAGAGACGAGAGAAGCCTTCCGATCATTCCTTATTTGCCACCTCAGGCCTTGGGTAAGCAATTGACGGCCATACAGGATGCTCTGCCACCCCCAAGAAGGACGAGACCTGGCTGAAGCAGAGAGGAAACCCCCATGCGGGAAGTACTTTCCTTTGTAGACTTGAGCGAGCAGTGATTGAGGTTCCGACAAAATTTGCCACCCAATTTCGGCTAACAAAGCCTGATTGAAGTGCTCAACCTACGGAAGCCCATACCACCATCATGCTTACTAGTACACATCTTACGCCAGGAAACCCACCTAATTCGTGAACGACCCCCTTCCACCCCCACCAAAAGCGAGCCACTTGCCTATCCAAGAGGCGACAAAGGGACAGGGGCAACTTAAAGCATGACATCACATGTAGGGGCAATGCTAGAGCGACTGATTTAATCAGGGTCTCCTTCGCTGCCCAAGACAACGTCCGCTGCTTCCATCCTTGAAGTCGGCTGAGCAGCTTCTGTTCCAAAAACCGGAATGTGGCCATTTTTGATCACGCAATCAACGTCGGCAATCCCAGATATTTATCCTGGACCTCTACTGCTCCAACCCCCAGAATTTCCGCAAGGAATTCCTGGTCAAGCAGAGAGATATTCTTGCTAAAGCAGACTGCTGATTTATCTAGGTTAACTCGTTGGCCACTGAGTTCCTCATAAGTATTAAGCACTTCGATCAAGTTCTCACACTCTTGAAGTGAGCCTCGAAGAATCAAATATGAATCATCCGCAAAGAACAAATGCGAAATCCTAGGCGCCCTGGGAGCCACCTTCACCCCTTCAAGCTTTCCCAAAGCAATAGCCTGACGGAGAAGAGCCGCAAACCCTTCCGTACAGAGCATGAACAGTAACGGGGAAAGAGGGTCCCCCTGTCTTAGCCCACGGGACGGGGCAAAGAACCCAGAGGGGGTACCGTTCATAAGAACGGAGAAGGAGGTTGATCGGAGACATTCATGAACCCATCCACACCATGTAGAATTAAAGCCTAATTTTCTTAAAATCGCAAGGAGGAAGGGCCATTCGACTCTGTCATAGGCCTTTTCCATGTCAATCTTTAGAGCCATGTACCCTTTCTTGCCCCACTTTTTGAGTTTCAAATAGTGCATTAACTCATGGCCGATGAGAATTTTATCCACAATGTGCCTTTCCCTGATAAAAGCATTTTGTCCGTCGGAGATAATCTGTGGTAAAACTTGGGTCAACCTCTCTGCCAGAATTTTAGTAATGATCTTGTACACAAATTGACAGAGGCTGACGGGTCGCAGCTACTTAATGTTGTCCACATTATCCACTTTCGGGATAAGTGTGAGCCACGTATGATTGAAACTGCGGAGCATCCTGCTCGTATTAAAGAAATGCCTGACCGCAGCAATCACTGACTCACCCACTATATCCCAGAAAGCTTTAAAAAGTTTCCCAGTAAACCCATCCGAACCAGGCGCTTGTTTAGATCCCATGGAGAACACTGTTCGCCGGACCTCCTCGGGAAAGACTTCTGCTGTGGGAGAGTTATTCATTTCCATAGTGACCTTGCAGTCAATCGGGAGGTCTGCAATTCGGGCTTCCATGTTATGCACTTGGGACTCAGAGGTAAACCGCTGTTGGTAGAAACCGGTTGCGATGTCCGCTTTTCCTCTTTCCTCTGTAACCCACTCCCCCTCCGCATTATGGAGCCCTTCAACAAAATTATGTTTCCGACGCGCCCGGGTCACCGTGTGGAAGTAAGAGGAGTTCTAATCACCCTTCTTTAGCCACCGCACTCTAGAATTTTGTTGCCAATAGGCTTCCTCAGCTTCCCATTGTCGATTCAATTCAAACTCCAACTCTTTGACTTTCTCCCAGTCTATCGGGTAACAATGCCTAACCCGATCGATTTCGCATTGAGGATCTTAATATTCCTGAGAGAATTCGTAGTACTAGCCCGACTCCAATCATAAAGTAAATGTCATAGCTTCTTTAATTTCTCCCACAAAATAAACATAGGGGAACCATGAACCTCTTCCGACCACACATTGGTGACCATGGCCCTAACTTCAGGATTATCAGCCAACGAGCATCAAAGCGGAAAAGAGGCCGACTTTGCCAGGTGTATGGTTTATCCGAAAGTATTAGGGCACGATGGTCAGAACCCTGATCCCTAAAATGCTTGAGAAGGGTGTCAGGGAAAGTATATATCCAGGTCGGTGAGCAAAGTGCTCGATCCAACCTTTCACGAATGCAAGCCGCCCCCATCCGTTTGTTAGTCCAGATGAATTGGTCCCCCTGGTATCCCAGATCCATAAGACCAAGGTCATGAATAAAGTTTCGGAGGGGAATTGTCAGGGTCGCCATCCAAGGGTTCCCACCATATTTTTCCGTTTCACTCAAAGTCACATTGAAATCACCTAACAGTACAAAAGGCAGGTGTATCTCATCACACAACTGTCGGAGTACATCCAATTGGGTAGCCCATCGGCTTTCATGGCAACTTAAATAAACACAAATCACCACATAAGAGAAAGAACTTTCATTAATCCGAACACAAATGGAGAAATCCGAATGAAAAAACACCAAAGCATCGACCTCGACCAAGCTACAACTAAACCACTAGAAGTATCGATGGCATCAACAAAAAAAAAAAAAACAATTATGCAAATTGAACCCTAAACCTCGCATCCTGCGGGACACTACTCCCCGGCTCGATCTTGTTTCCAAAAAGAAGACAAGGTCCGGTTTATTGGAATGAATTAAACCTACAGCAGTTTGGAAGGTGAGGGATGGTCCAATTCCTCTCACATTCCAGGCAAGCAGCCTCATTTGACCGATGGGGGCCACTCCAGGCTGGCTTCCTCCACCTTATCATCATTGGAAATTTCTTCAACAAATTGTTTCTTAGGGTTAGGAGAGTCCTCCATATCCCCTCCCATCTCTTCGAAATCTCTTGTAATCCCTCATGCTCCAGAGTCAAGGATATTTGTCCCATATTCATTCAATTTGGAGATCATTTCCCTCTCCGGAGTCAGAGCCGCATCAACATCTTTAATGGGCCGTTGACCCATAGACAACTTCACACCCACCTCATCTCCACACCCATTAAGGGTCATGTCGCCCTCAAAGGCCGCCACCACTTGCCCTACGTGGCCTTGAGCATTGCTTCACTCTGCAGTTTGCTTATTTCCTCGGGAAGCCGCCTAACTTCAAAAATCTGAGGTTCTTCATAAGGAGAAGACACCTCGGAGGCAGCCTTCTGATAACGATGTAATTGCACGTATTTGCACCCCTAGTTCTTATCCGTTTGAGGGGCATAGTCGTGTATTTTTGGCCTATTTTACGCCGGGTTGTGCTACTTTGTCATATTTCAGGTCCCAGGCGTCAAAGGAAAGGCTAAGCACGAGTTTCGGGGCATTCGGAAGTCATTCGGTCGAGCTGGAGCCAAAACACGGGCACGCCTAAATCAGAACACGGCCGTGTTCCTAGACCGTGCTTTTACTGTCGAGACTTTATCTGAGTTTGGCAAACACTAGCTCAAAACACGGGCAGGGCTGAGACAGAACACGACAGTGTCCACCAAAAGCACGCCCGTGTTTTCCCCAAAAGTCTGGCCGTGTATTTAACACTTGGCAAAACACGGGCGGGCTGGAGCAGAACACGGCCGTGCCCTCGACCGTGTTTTGTCGAGTGATGCCCTTTTAGGCAGATTTCAGCCAAAACAGAAGGGGATTCGAGTTTTAGAGAGACAGAGCGATTCCTAGAGAGAGAAAGCAACAAACAAGAGTCTCCAAGTGCCCTAGCTTGATCTTCATCACCATTGAAGCGTGGCTTGAGTTTGGAGAAGTGCCGATCAACGTCCAGGAGCAGAAATCCATCCTTCACAGTATGATTTCCGCGTCTGATTCTGCTTTTGCTTCTTCTCCATGGAGTAGTTCTCCCATTCATCTAGGTATGGAGAACCCTAGATTTGTATGTTAGGTCTGATTGTATGAACCCAAGTACTGATTCTATGAGTTGATTATATTCAATTGAGGTTTGAATGATTGAATGGCATGAATCCTGATCAAATTCCTGTTGTTTCTGCTTTAACCTAGAATGAGAATATCTGCCTAGGTTGATAGAGCATCCTTGATTGAAGGTAGGGAGTTGGTGACTTTAGTCGAGGAGACAACTCACTATTCTGTACCGAATTCACTTCGGTAGTGGAGGTTTTGTTCGTTAGGGCCTCAATCTGTTTACTCCGGTGGAGGTTAGTCGCCCGCTAGAGACTGATTAAGAACCTTCCGCAGTATAAATTTCATAGAAACTGAACTTGGTAATTGCAATCCGGCTTAACTGCAGTCTAGGGGGAACCATATCCGGGTGACCTCTCTTAACCTGAACACAACCGTTTAGTTGCTTTGTTTGTTTGTTTGTTAGTTTAGACCTGCACTAAAGTTTCGTTGCTATATAACAAGAATTCACCGAGTAGTCATCAAATCTAGGACCCGGGTTAGACATTAAAACCCAAACCCGCTATACTACGCTTTAGGAAGTGGTTACACTTGGCCAATTTCAAGAGTGACAGTAGGAGTGAGTCAAGTTTTTGGCGCCGTTGCCGGGGACGGCTAGGTTGTTGAAGAAAAGTGATTTCTGTTAATTTAGCTTTTCTTTTCGCATTGTTTGCTTTGTCCCACTTGTGCCTTCACGGGTTTGCTTGCTTGAGTGTGTGCAGGTAGTGCATGACCCGTAGCCAGTCGGGAGGTTTACTGCCGTTGAATCCAGAGATTGACCGCACATGTCGCCAACTCAGGAGACAACAGCGAGCTAGACTGGCTACGGAAGAGCGCATAGATGGCCACTTGAGCAGCGATTCTGAGGAAGAGTACAGGATGGACGGAGATTACAATCCACACCAGGGGAATCCTCAGCAGGCTCCCCCGGGGAATCAGGTCCTGGGGAACAACCCCATACCCCAGGCATATGGGGTTCATCATCATCCACCGCCGCCGGGTCCCACCTTGGAGTACTACTACACTCCACGGATTGCCGACATCCGCCCGGTCATCCTCTACCCGCCTATTCCAACAAACAACTTCGAGATCAAGCCATGCTGGATTCAGCTCATTACATCCTTTATCCAGTTCCATGGCTTGAAGGATGAGGAGGCCAGGGTGCATCTTTCCCGTTTTCTGCAGCTGACGAACGGGTTCAAGCTGAACGGTGTCCCCGATGATGCAATCCGCCTTCACCTTTTCCCCCATTCTCTGGCGGGGAATGCTAAGAGGTGGTTAGAGACCCAGCCCCCATTGTCCATCACCTCTTGGGACGATCTGGCTGACAAATTCATGCACAGGTATTATCCGGCATCGAAGACTAAAGAGATCCAGCGGGAGATCACTCACTTCCGCCAAGAGCCAGATGAATCACTTCGTGATGCTTGGGAGCGGTACATGGGATATTTCTGGCAGTGTCCCCATCATGGTTTCAGTGATGCATTCACAGTGGGGAACTTCTACAGTGCTCTCTCTCTGGACAGCCAGCGGGTGATTGAGTCTCTATGCCCAGGAGGGGATATTCTCACTAAGACTCCACCGGAACTGAACCAGATGATCAATACCTTGGCTGCCAGAGATCATTCTTGGGGGCAGAGCAGCAGAGGCAGACATTCCCGGGATCGTGGTGTGCACGCCATGGAGACCAGATCCGGGCTCGAGCAGCATGTAGCTGAGTTAGTGCAGACATTGAAGCAGCCCAACAGTCTTATTCCGGGCAGAGGTTTGGCTACACCTCCAGTAGCTCAATGTCAGTGGTGTGAGAGCTCAAATCACTTAGTGAAAGACTGCCAGGCTATGAGGGAGTCTACTACTCCCCAGGAGCAGTTGGACTTCATCGCCAATGCTCGGCGCCTCGACCCGTACAGCAATACATATAATGAGGGGTGGCGCCAGCATCCCAATTTCGCTTGGAGCAACACCACCACTAAACCACCTGGTTTCCCAGCACCAGCTGGTGGCTTTCAGCAGAGACAGCCCTTCTAGGCTCGACAGGGACCAACCCCACAGCAGCAGCCCTACCAGCCTAGGCAGGGGCAACCATTCCAGCATCCCCAGCGTCAGTATGCCGAGCCAGCAGCAGCTCCTGCCCCAGATAATCAGATGACAAAGCTGGAAAATATTATAGCTTCATTCATGACTGCCACTCAGGCAACTGTCACGAGGTTGGACCAGAGCATAACCTCACTGGAGGCAGGTCAGAGGAACCAAGGTGCCATTTTGCAAGATCTGCAGAACCAGATGGGTAGCTTTGCTCGCCAGAACACTACCAGGCACCGGGGACTCTACCTGCCACCACTATTCCGAATCCTCGTGAGCCTCACCAGCACCAGCAACTAGATGCCATCACTACCAAGAGTGGCAAGACCACATCTACTGCTCCGGCCCAGCCCAGTCGAGATGAGTCACTACCTGCTTCAACACTTCTAGCTGATAATGCAGAAGTGGTGGAAGACAAAGAAACACCTGCTCCCAAGCCACAGCCAGTGGTTAAGGAGCATGTACCTCAGCTTCCTTTCCCCACTCGCCTACATAAAGACAAGCTGGAGACTGAGTTTGCCAAGTTCATGGCAATGTTGAAGCAGGTCATCATCAGCATGCCGTTCGTGGAGGCACTGTCAAAGATGCCCAAGTATGCCAAGTTCATGAAGGACCTCCTCACCAACAAGAAGAAACTTGGGGATCTTTCGACAGTGATGCTGAGCGAGGAGTGTTCTGCTATTCTGCAGAACAAGCTGCCCGAGAAGCGAAAAGACCCAGGGAGTTTCACTATCCCTCTTGTTATTGGCAGCATGCATGTAGGAAAGTCCTTGGCGGAGCTAGGCGCTAGCATAAATGTCATGCCTTACAAATTGTTTAAGAAGCTAGGCCTAGGTGAACCTAGAGCTACTAGGATGAGCATTCAGTTAGCTGATCGTTCTATCGTGCATCCTAGGGGTATCATTGAGGATCTGCTTGTTAATGTGGGTGCATTCACATATCCTGTTGACTTTGTTATTTTGGATATAAATGAGGATGTGGATGTACCTTTGATTTTGGGTAGACCGTTTCTCACCACCGCCAAGGCGCTTATTGATGTGCATAGTGGTAAATTGATTATGCGTGCTGGTGATGAACATGCTACCTTTTATGTGTCGGGAAACACTCTCATTTGCATGATGACATAGATTACTGTGATGTGCTTGCTGATTTTGAGACCTCACTCGCTATAACGAGTGCGTGTACTGACGATGCTCTTGAGCGTTGAATTTGCTAGGTGAGCAGGCATCGCAGGAGCCGCAGCTGGCGGAGCAGTTGGCCGAGTTGGAGTGTGGCCCCTTCTTGGAGGGCGACAGGCTGTTCAAACCGATCTCATCCTCCACTCGCATCATCACTTCCTTGGAGGAACCACCAGAGCTGGAGTTTAAGCCCCTCCCTCCTCATTTGGAGTATGCATTTCTCCGGGAGGGGAATAAGCTGCCAGTCATCATCAGCTCGACCCTCACACCCGAGCAGAAGAACAGATTGGTGACCTTGCTGAAGTAGTATGAGCGAGCTCTAGCGTGGAAGATCACAGACATCCGTGGGATCAGCCCTTCCTTCTGCTCCCACCAGATACTGATGGAGGACGAGATGCGGCCAGTGAGACAGCCGCAGAGAAGACTGATACCGAACCTGGAGGCTGTGGTTCGGGCGGAGATCGTGAAGCTGCTAGACGCGGGGATCATTTTTGCCATCTCCGACAGTGAGTGGGTCAGTCCCACCCAGGTGGTACCCAAAAAGGGTGGGATGAATGTGGTGCCTAACGAGAAGAATGAGCTGATCCCGATGCGCACGGTGACTGGGTACCGTGTCTGCATTGATTATCGGCGTCTCAACGACGCCACTCGGAAGGACCACTTCCCGCTGCCATTCATTGACCAGATGCTGGAGAGACTGGAGGGGCACGAGTTCTACTGTTTCCTGGATGGGATGTCCGGGTACTTCCAGATCCCTATTGCGCCGGAGGACCAGGCGAAGACCACTTTCACCTGCCCCTTCGGCACCTTTGCCTACCGGAGGATCCCATTCGGGTTATGCAATGCCCCTGCCACTTTTCAGCGATGCATGCTCGCCATCTTTGACCGTCTGGTCGGCGAGATTATGGAGGTGTTTATGGACGATTTCTCGGTTTATGGAGACTCATTCTCTCACTGTCTCCATAACCTGGAGCTTGTCCTTAAAAGGTGTGAAGAAACGAACCTGCGCTGAGTTGGGAGAAGTGTCACTTCATGGTTCGAGAAGACATAGTTCTTGGGCATAAGATCTCCAAGATGGGGATTGAGGTGGACAGAGCGAAGATCGAGACTATCAGCAAGCTGCCTCCTCCTACATCTGTTAAGGGGATCCGGAGTTTTGTAGGTCATGCAGGGTTCTACAGGCGGTTCATCAAGGATTTCTCGAAGATTGCTCTGCCCCTGACTAAGCTTCTAGAGAAGGATGCCCCCTTCCAGTTCACTGATGCATGCACAGCGGCCTTCACGACCTTGAAGGAGAAGCTCACTCAAGCTCCTATCATGGTTGTTCCTGACTGGTCCCTGCCATTTGAGCTTATGTGCGATGCCAGTGACTTTGCTGTTGGAGTTGTATTGGGGCAGAGGCGAGATCAGCATTTCCGACCTATCTACTACGCCTCGAGGACCCTGAATGATGCCCAGGAGAACTAAACCACCACGGAGAAGGAGCTTTTCGCGGTGGTGTTTGCCTTTGATAAATTTCGTCCTTATCTGGTCTTGTCCCATGTGACCGTGTATACAGATCACTCCGCGATTCGATACCTGATGAGCAAGGCTGATGCCAAGCCTAGGCTCATACGATGGATCTTACTGCTGCAGGAGTTCGACATTGAGATTCGGGACAAGAAGGGAGCGGAGAATGTTGTTGCCGATCACCTCTCCCGGTTGGACGCACCCCCTGCGGACAACCTCGAGGAGGAGATCAACGACTCCTTCCCAGATGAGAGACTGATGATGATGTGCCTGGTGGAGAGTGTCACCCCCTGGTATTCTGATTTTGCGAACTATCTTGTGGGCCAGCAGCTGCCCAAGGGGATGACAACTCACGCCAAGAGGAAGTTCTTCTCCGACCTGAAGCACTACTTCTGGGATGACCCTCATCTCTTCAGGATCGGAGCCGACGGGATCATCCGTCGATGTGTTATGGAGAGTGAGATGGAGGGCATTCTATCTCATTGTCATGAAGGACCTACTGGCGATCACCATGGAGGGAACCACACGGCGAGGAAGGTGCTCCAATCGGGCTTTTACTGGCCCACGCTCTTCAAGGACGCAGACGCCTTCGCACGCAGGTGCGACCGATGCTAGAGGTCAGGTAACATCTCTGCCCCTGATGAGATGCCCAGAATGTGTTTATAACTTGTGAGATTTTTGATGTCTGGGGTATCGACTTCATGGGCCCCTTCCCTCCATCTTTTGGTAATACCTATATCCTTGTTGCAGTTGACTACGTCTCTAGGTGGGATGAGGCACAAGCTTTGCTCACTAATGATGCTAGACGTGTTTTTGGTTTTCTGAAGTAGCTATTCTCCCGGTTTGGGACACCTAGAGCCATCATAAGCGAACGCGGCACCCATTTCCAGGGTCAGTTCGATAAATTGCTGTCTCGCTATGGTGTAACTAATAAGGTGTCCGTGGCCTACCATCCTCAAACAAGTGGCCAGACCGAGCTGACGAACCGGGAGCTCAAGCGTATCCTGGAGAAGACGGTGAATCTATCCCGCAAGGATTGGTCCACCAAGCTCGATGATGCTCTATGGGCATACCGCAGTGCCTACAAGACGCCCATTGGTACCTCACTGTACCGGCTTGTCTATGGAAAGGCATGCCATTTGCCCGTGGAGCTAGAGCACAAGGCCTTCTGGGCCCTTAAGCTGCTAAATTTGGATGTTAGTGTTGCAGGTGTTGAGTGCAAAATGCAGATGTTGGAGCTGGAAGAGTGGCGTTATCACGCCTATGGGAACACCAAGCTGTACAAGGAGCGCACTAAGCGCCTGCACGATGCACGGTTGCGGGGTCCGAAAGAGTTCCAGGTTGGTGATCGAGTTCTCCTTTATAACTCTCGCCTGAAGCTCTTTCCTGGAAAACTCCGTTCCCGGTGGTCTGGACCGTACACGGTCACACAGGTGTTCCCGTATGGCACGATCGAGATTGCCAACCCGCAGACTGAACCATTTAAAGTGAATGGCCATCGTCTCAAACTCTACTTGGGAGGCGAGGTCGAACGTGCGGAGTTGGCAGTGGACTTCGCCGACCCTTAGTTCCGCCATGGGCGTCCAGCTAAAAGACGGTAAAGAAGCGCTTGTGGGGAGGCAACCCCACCACGGTTTGCATTTCTACCCTTTGTCTTTTTTTATTTATTTATTTCATTTTTGTCGGTTTTTGAGTCTTTGAGTCTGTCTGGAAAGTTTTTCGTGCCTCGGGCGGTTCTTTTTAATGTGTGATTGGGTAAATTTTAGAGCCGGGGCACGAATGAGTCGTGGGGGTTTGAGATTGGAATTTTGAAAAAAGGCTGTTTGGGCTCGGCAGTAAAAACACGGGCACCAGGGGTGCAAAACACGACCGTGTTTTCCCCCCTGCCCGCCCGTGTTTTGGAATTTTGCATGCACTGCTCTCGGCAGTAAAAACACGGGCGCTGGGCTTCCAAAACACGGCCGTGTTTTGGTCCCAGCCCGCCCGTGTTTTCAAAAGGGTGAGACACGGCCTCGGCAGTAAAAACACGGGCGCGGAACAGGCCGAACACGGCCGTGTTCCTGCCCGCCCGTGTTTTGCCCTCCCCCCTATAAAAGTCGATTTTCACCCCCCCACTCACTAGGATCAGTTTTTTCAAAATCCCAGCCATCTCTCTCGCCGGAAACTCTGCCCCTTCATCTTCCCCGTCGATTTTCCGGCCATCTCTCCCTCTCCCGACCTCCAAATCACAAACCGCGAACGCCCCCACACTCCTGGCGTCGAGGAGCACAATCCCCAAAGATTTGGGCTTGTTTGGCCGAGGTTGGGTCGCCGGCGGTGAGTTCTCCGGCGAGTCTCCGGTGTGTTTTCCGGCGACTTAGGGTGCCTTTTTCCACTTTCTTCACCACTCTCGTGGTCTCTCCTTGCGTCTCCAGGTGTGTTCTCCTTGTCTTTTCTTTTATTTAATGGAGAATCGATACCTAGAGTTAGGTGAAGAACTTGTGATTGTGGAATGGTTTGGGGATGATTGGGTAGGCCGATGACGCTATTTGGTTGTTCTATTTTTGCCTCGGGATTTCAGTCATTCGGCCTACCATTTGCATGTTGCATTGTATGCGTGCTTGTGTGGTTTGTGGGTGGTGCCTCGATTGGTGCTTATTTAGTACGGTTTTGGTATGCTTGTTTCACCGGGGGCCTAGTCCACTGTCCGAATCGCTCGATTTGAGGGCCCCTGGTGTGTTCTGTGGTGTGATTCTCGTGTGATGGGTATGCTTGTTTCGCCAGGAGTCTAGTCCATTGTCCATATCTTTCGATATGAGGCCTCCCGTTGTGGTTTTGGCCTAACATTGACCCCGTTTGCTTGTGTACCCTTTGTACTTGTGTTTTGCAGGATCATGGAAGCTTATCTCGACCAGTTGAGCATCACTCAACGCCACCTGCTGCGGGCCATCCGTAACCGCACCTTCGCCGAGCACCTGCACCTCGATTTTGAGGTGTTCGAGGCGCTTCATGCCATGCCGCAGATGGAGGTCGTGGTTCGCCCCTATGGTTGGCAGCGTCTTCTCACCCTCGCCGAGCCGACCTACAAGGAGCTCGTCTGGGAGTTCTACGAGACCTTCCACCACAATTCGAAGGGGAACTCCGACCATGCTGATGCGGTTCAATTCACACTCGACGGGGTGGAGCACTCCCTCAGTTACTGGGAGTTCGCCAATGCACTTCGTCTCAATTCCCGGGAGTCCGGCGGGCGGCCACTACGCTTGGACCTCTCTGATCCCAGCGACTTTGCTTCCCAGGCTTACTTCCAGCGAATTTGCCTGCCGAACCATGTGGATGAAGAGTACGTTGCCAGCCAGACACGGGCCTCTCTCCTCCGTCCGGAGTGGCGGATCCTCAACCACCTGCTCACCCAGTCCTACACACCCAGCGAAGGCTCGGCCAACCGGGTCACACTCCGGACACTATGGTTGATGCATTCGATGGGTCTTTCTGAGGACACCATCCAGCTGGGCTCTGTGCTCGCCCGGACGTTCACCAAAGCCGCCGCCAGCCAGAGTCGCAACCTTGTATGTGGCCCGGTGATCACCGCCTTGGCCCGCCACTACGGGGTTGACTACACTGGGATGACCTTGGTCCAAGGACCAACCCTGCTCAACGAGGCTACCCTCCGCCACCAGCACATGGTTTCTCGCCACGGGCGTGTGCACTGGATCGCGGGCCTTCCTCAGCTACCTCTACCTGCAGCGGGCGACCAGCCCGAGTCGAGCGCTGCTGGTGGACGCCGAGTTCCCCGTCGCGCTGTTCGTCGTGACCAGGCTCCCGCAAGCCCCTCTCCTGCTCCCCAGTCTCCTACTCCAGGGTCTCCTCCTCCAGTGGTGGTGCCCATTTCTGACCAGTTGGCGGCGATCGCTCAGTAGAACGAGCGCATCCTGGCCGGCCAGGAGCGCATTCACACCCGCCTCGATCGTGAGCGGGACCGAGGGCGTCGTCTCATGTCAGGCCAACACTACATCATGTCCTACGTGGTTTTGGACCCGAATGCGGTCCACTACCCGTTCGTGCAGTCCCCGGGGTTTGAGGATGAGTACCCTCCACCCACCGGCGATGGTGGTGATGCCTTCTAGAGCTGGTTCTGTGCTTTATTTGTGTTCCAGACTGAGACTCCATGTTTTGTTGTTTCGTTTTGTTTTGTTTTTTTTATCTTGGATTGTAGACCTGGACCTCTGGTTCTTTCACCCAGTGTGTGTCTTTTGTTGTCTCTAGCTCTGTGCCTCCTTCTCTGGACTGGTCTGCCTTCCAGTCCTCGTTCCTGTTCTCCTTTCACGGTAACATCGTTCCCCTTCCCTCTGCTCCATTGAGGACATTGTCGCATTTAAGTGTGGTGGGGGGGGGGGGGGGGGGGGGGGGGGTTCTTTGTATGAATTGGAACGTATATATGTGTGCTTGGAGCCTAGTCCACTGTCCAAATCTCGAGATTTGAGGGCTCCAAGCACTGTCGTTTGCCAGATGTTTGATCGTATTGGCACTGTGGATGTGATTAGTGAATTGAATGGCTTTTGACTTGATGCATGACAACTTGAGTGTGACTAAAACAACTTATTATGATGACTGAGATGAGCAGTAGAATTGTATAGGGATTCAGTTTTTCAACTGTTTGCTTACCAAATGTGACTTGGTTTGATCACTTGCTTTTGACAGTCATTTATGCATCTAGTTCAGGGAATCAGAACGAGAGATAGAGCATATAGGTAGCCATGTGAGACTTGAGCCTGCTCGTTTCTTTCTTGTGCGATAGTTTCCTCTTCCATGATGTGCAGCATTCACGTTGTCATTAGCTAAGACGATGGAGGCATAGGATTAACCCACGACCAAATTGACTGTCCTGGTGTGTCATACCCCCTAGTCAGCCCTTTGAGCCGTGTGTTTTCCTTTCTTTCGGTCTTCAATGAAAAGTCACCCTTTTGCATCTTTTAGAAGGTTCCACAGAGTGATTTTTACATGTTTTCTGCTGTTTCTGCTAAACGTAATGTGAGGGTTGGAGGTAGTGCTTAAAAGTTGGGCAGGTGTTTGAAAATGTGCCGAGGTGGTGGTTCTCTTAAGACATGAAAAATAATTAAAGAAAAACAAAGAAAAAAATGAAAGCAAAAGAGCGCCACCATAAAAAATCTGAATAATGCCCATTTAGTAGTGTTTCTTAGCAGTCTAGAACTTAGAAATACTAGCATTTATGTAACCTCCTTCGCTTTTGTGCTCTGAAGAATTTGAGTAATGCAGAATAGCAGAAAGAAAGTTTTTGATTTGATTGACTGCGAGTTTGTTGGGTTTGGATATGTGGAACCTTGTGCTGTATGAATACTTCCACCACCTAAAAGGCCTTTTCCCCATGTCCGAGACCCTAGCCTGTCATCTGAACCTGTGTCTTAGACCTCCGGATTAGTTAGTGGTGACACCCCATATGTGAACTCTAGCACTTAGAGGCTGCATTCATGGTGAAGAGATGTTAGGGATTGAGAGATTAAGCAGACGCATTTTTCGCATCAAATTGTCCTTACCCCACTGGTCGAGAGTGAGCGATTCATTTTCTCATATTCTCTATACTCTTTATCCCGGTGAGGACCTAGATTGCTCGGTCTTAATTCTGATATCTTGAGCTTTGTGCATGAAGTGACTGTTTTGAATAAGTGGTTGAGTCAAGTCTATGTTGGTTGGTGAACAGAAGGGAGACTCTTCCTTTGCTCGATTTTACTGCATTCGAATGTCATCTGTGGTGGTTGTCTAGGTTGTCATTGAGGTTGTCCATGTGTTAATGATCGAAAGCCAATATGATCCACGTTTTTGTGCCGATATGATATGCCCTTAAGCATGCTTGATTGAAACATTTTTAGCTTACCTTGTGTCTGACTTGGTTTGCTCGGGGACAAGCAAACGGTTAAGTGTGGGGGAATTTGATAACGATGTAATTGCACGTATTTGCACCCCTAGTTCTTATCCGTTTGATGGGCATAGTCGTGTATTTTTGGCCTATTTTACGCCGGGTTGTGCTACTTTGTCATATTTCAGGTCCTAGGCGTCAAAGGAAAGGCTAAGCACGAGTTTTGGGGCATTCAGAAGTCATTCGGTCGAGCTGGAGCCAAGACAAGGACACGCCTAAATCAGAACACGACCGTGTTCCTAGACCGTGCTTTTACTGTCAAGACTTGATCTGATTTTGGCAAACACTAGCTCAAAACACGGGCAGGGCTGAGACAGAACACGGCCGTGTCCACCAAAAGCACGCCCGTGTTTTCCCCAAAAGTCTGGTCGTGTATTTAACACTTGGCAAAACACGGGCGGGCTGGAGCAGAACACGGCCGTGCCCTCAACCGTGTTTTGCCCAGTGATGCCCTTTTAGGCAGATTTCAGCCAAAACAGAAGGGGATTCGAGTTTTAGAGAGACAGAGCGATTCCTAGAGAGAGAAAGCGACGAACAAGAGTCTCCAAGTGCCCTAGATTGTTCTTCATCACCATTGGAGCGTGGCTTGAGCTTGGAGAAGTGCCGATCAACGTCCAGGAGCAGAAATCCATCCTTCACAATATGATTTCCGCGTCTGATTCTGCTTTTGCTTCTTTCTCCATGGAGTAGTTCTCCCATTCATCTGGGTATGGAGAACCCTAGATTTGTATGTTAGGTCTGATTGTATGAACCCAAGTACTGATTCTATGAGTTGATTATATTCAATTGAGGTTTGAATGATTGAATGGCATGAATCCTGATCAAATTCCTGTTGTTTCTGCTTTAACCTAGAATGAGAATATCTGCCTAGGTTGATAGAGCATCCTTGATTGAAGGTAGGGAGTGGGTGACTTTAGTCGAGGAGCCAACTTACTATTCTGTACCGAATTCACTTCGGTAGTGGAGGTTTTGTTCGTTAGGGCCTCAATTTGTTTACTCCGGTGGAGGTTAGTCGCTCGCTAGAGACTCTTTCCCGGCCCAGTCTTAGCTTCCGGAAGCTTCGCCTTACGTAGCTTACGCGGTGTATGCTTGGGAGATCCCTTTCGAGATGATGCCTTCCCCACCAACTTCGCAGCACCGATAAGCTGGGGATTTTCCTTGGGTTGGTCACCCTCCCCTTGAACTGTCGTCTGCTGGGCTGCATGGACTTTCGTAGGATGGGGAGATCATCCTCAGACTCATCTTCGAGGATCATACGTCGCCGACGAGTCATTGCTTGGGGATGGACAGGGTCAGCCATTGGCAGAATATCATCACTCATCGACGATAGTTGGTTCTCCCGCACCGGTCTTGCCTGCCTCCTCGGGATCCTCTCATCCCTCCGCTGTGTCACCATCGGGCTTTGCCGGGGTTGTGCCTCAATGATCAGCGACTCATTCGTCTGCAGGGACGTCTCTACTTCCTTCCCACGTCGGCGTCCCTGATGTAGGTCCATCCGATGATGGGCACTCTCCTTCCCAGCTCGCAAATAGTCACCCGTCTCCTTCCTTGACGTGGAGTAACGAACACCATGCCTAAGGGAAACTCGTGGAGATTTCTTCATGGTAAAGCCACGCAAACTTTTACCATGTCTCTGCTTGTAAGTGTCCATCGTCCCCGTCTCCACCTGCGGAAGCCGAGCCCAGAGCGAGCCACGGGCATCGCAGCAATGTCCTCCTCGCATCACGAGTTGGCCTAGGTTGCTCCCTAGTTAATTTTCCTTCGCGAACCTCCTTGTTAATCCAAACGGATTTTGCGCCTCCGCGGTATTGAGGGAATATCATCATCATCATAAAGGCGAGTACCACTTTTTTGTGGACATGTGAGGGGCCGAATCTTTCCTTCCGGGTAGGAGGATTAAATGAACAGTCACTCATCATGTGACCCACTCGGCCACAATGAAAGCAGAATGTAGGTGACACGCCAAAACACAACACCAAACTGCGGCCAAGTGTAATCGCAGTCCGGGAATGCAATAAAGTGGCAAGTTCTAATAATCAACCAGGGGTCTAGATCTACGACCTACTTCGTGAATATCTATTATCTAGCCAACTAAGTCGATTGATTGTGGTTTTAATTAAAAATAGTAAGAAAGCATGAAATGATTCGGTTTTCTAAAGCAAAGGGAGAGTCACTCGGGAATGAGTCCCCCTAGCTCCTTAGTTAGGTCTCACTTGTAACTACCCTGGGTTGATTTACTGTTGATTAAACTGCGGAAGATCCGACAGTAGCTTGGAATCTCTTAAGCTGACCAAGCCCTCTCAGTCCAACTACCCGGCATACGACTAGTCTTCACCGGGATAGAAAGCTGAGGCAATAAGCACAGAACTCCACTACTGGAATTGGGTTCAGTACAAAGCAATAGATTGACTAACTCTCGTATAACCAATCTACCACTACCGAATGATGAAGCTCTAACAACCTAATCAGATTCTATCTACCTCAGGTTGCAGCAGAAATCAATAAAAGATGATCAGACTTCATTTGATTCAATGAATCATGCATCATTCAATTAAAACCAAACAGTATAGCAATCCCAAGTCATTACAATCATGATCCCTAACACATGGAACTAGGGTTCTTCATACCCAAGTGAGAGAGGATTCTACTCCATAGAGAGAGGGGAAAACATAATACAAAGCAGTCATACTCATAACAATGGGAAGAATCTGCTCTAGGATGATGATCTTCACTCCTATGATGATCTCCAAGCTCGATTGATGAAACCCAGCTCCAAAATCACTTCTAGGATGTGTTCTTCGCACTTTCTCTCTCTAGGGCTCTGTTTTTGCTCCAAAAAGTCGATCCCCTCCCCTTTGGCTCGAATTGGGGTAAAAGCCCAGAAATTCCCGACCACACAGGCAGGCCACACGGCCGTGTGGCTTTCCCAACTGCCCGTGTGAGTGTCAAAACACCGAGTTTCGTTTAAGTGACTTCCAACCATCCTACACGGCCACAACCACCCGGCCGTGTGGATTTCCAGGATGCCCGTGTGAGTTCCCTGGAATTTTCACACGGCCACATGGGTTCCCTTACACGGCCGTGTGGCTTTTAGGCATGCCCGTGTGGCTTCCCAGCTTCTCGCCAAACGTCCAAACTTCGTCCAATCGATCCCGAACTCGTTCCCAAACCTTCATTCACGTACTAGGACCTGAAATATCACAAACAAGCACAACCTAGCGTGAAATCAGCCTAAAACACGAGAATCAACATCTCAAACGGCTCAAGAATAGGGGTAAAAACATGTGCAATTAACGGTTTATCAAACTCCCCCACACATAACCGTTTGCTTGTCCCCAAGCAAACCTAACTCAAACAAATGCAACTCTCAAGACCTCTATAGCAACAAGCAACCCCGATCGTCGGCAGAGGATTTTCTAGATCATTTAGCAACTTGCGAGGTCAACTGGTCTTCTAAGACGCCTCCTATCTCTCTCAAAGCGAGTACTAGACTCAAGCTAGGATCATGAGAAGCATTGGAACTAAGACATTCAATTCATGGATAAGGAGACTCACACAATTCAACAACCAAGGACTCGTTGTACCGGGGGTGCTCTTTCACTTCATTTCACCGTTGGAACCCCTTTTTCACTTTCGTTTTACTCTTTTTTTTTCTTTTCATTCACTTAGTGGGGGTTCCAACTGCAGTCTTTTGCACGGTCGACCCTTATTAGTCGAGCAAGAGCAATTTTTGTACATCTGGCGCTCGCCAGAGTACTTCTTTTAACTCCTTTTCCTCAACTCTTGTGGAGGGTCAATGAAATTAAGCTGGGTCGGAAGCTCTATCCGTGCCCTTAAAAACACATTCTCAAGTAGGCAAACCGTTCAACGGGTGTAAATTTTTACTTGTACTAGAGACATCTTAGCTTCACCTTGTAGGCCTACCCCACCAAGGATCACTTAAATCTCTTCCAAAACCCGATTTTGTGTAATGAATGGTGTCAAACACGTTGGGCTTACCACATGTCTTAGAATTTCACATTTTTTACATGGAGGACCAACTGCTTTTTCATTTCACACTTGAGCACCCTTTTTCGATACATGAGCCCACAACACAACATAAGAGGAGTCATCAATACCACATGAATCAACGGTCCTAAATCCAATATTTCACAAAATGAACCGGCACAGCAGAGAGACAGATAGGAAAAATCTTATACTTCAACATCCTCCATAGTGCTACAACTACCTCCCTAGGTTGCACATCACCATAAAACTGTCAATTCAAAGCATACTGAGCATGATTTTGCAGGGAACAGTACTTGGAGCCCTCAATTCATCAAATTGGACGGTGGACTAGGCTCCAAGCACACAAACTCATATAGCAGCTAAAGATAGAGAAACACCCCCCACACTTAAGCACGACATTGCCCTCAATGGAGCAGAGGGAAAGATAAGGGGAACGATGTTACCGGATTGATATACTGCCGGGAGACTGGAAGTGGACCAGTCAGCGGGGAACATATGGAACGAACGGGACAGTTCTGCACGACGGAAACATCAAGAACACACTAGCACACTGTGCGTTAGGGATCAGAGTTTATCCCAGATGGCCACAAAAGAGACAATCCACAAAATAAAACCAAAAGTACAAAACAAATGACAGACTCAGTTCAAGCTCCGCACATACATGGAGCAAACATAAAAAAGTCTTAAATAAAAACACACTCTGAGGGGCAACGAGTACAGACTACTCATCGCCAAGGTTGTCGAAGTCGATGTCGTCCATGAAGGCGTCCTCCATACTGGCTGCTCGCCCGGTATCAGCTGGAGCAGGTGCTGCTGGACCTCCTGCATACGCCGAGATCGGGCATTCTCTTGCTCGATGTGAGCCAGAGTCACCCCCTGATGGGTCTCCATACGGTCTAGGCGCTCATTATAGGCAGCCATCCGGGTCTAATACTCGGCCTGGTGAGCTGAGTACTGCTGCTGGAACTAGAGCTGATGGTCGAGGAGTCGCTGATTCTGGATGTTCCGCTGCTGGTACTGGTGAGTGCAGTAGTCCTGGGATGGGAATGAGGAACTTCTACCCCCGTACTCAGGGTGGTCGGGCGGGGGGCATCAGCATCATCCACATCCTCAGCAGCCTCATCCTCAGGAGCATCGGGCTGGTCCTCCGCGGGGATCTGAGGTTCAGGAAACCCCGCGATCCACTTGATGCCTCTATCGACTCGCAGCAGGTGCATTCTCTTGATCGTGTCCTCGCCGAAAGCACTAGTGCCCCCTACTCTGTGCACCCCTGCAGTGATATCTGGAAGAAGGTCCGGTTAGCATCGTCAGCGATAGAGATGGCCGCTTCACCGGCAAGTTCTGGAGGGAGTTGTTCAAGATGATGGGCTCCGATCTCAACTTCTCCACGAGCTTTCATCCTCAAACGGATGGGCAAACCGAGCGGGTCAATGCTTTGGTGGAGGTCTACTTGAGGCATTATGTGAGTGCCAACCAGAAGGATTGGGTGAAGCTATTGGATGTAGCCCAATTCTCCTACAACTTACACCGAAGTGAAGCCACGAGCATGAGTCTGTTCGAGTTGGCTACCGGGCAACAGCCGTTGACACCTAATATAGTGACGACGGGGTACAAGGGCAACAGCCCTTCTGCCTACAAGTTTGCACGAGGGTGGCACGAGAAGATGGAGTTGGCGAAGTCTTATCTCGCTCGAGCAAAGAAGAAGATGAAGAAGTGGGCGGATAAGAAGCGGCGTCACTTGGAATTCGAGGAGGGAGACTTGGTGATGGTGAAGTTCTTCCCTCATCGATTCAAGCACCTCAAAAATGTGCACAAGGGGCTGCTACGACGATATGAAGGGCCATATCCGATATTGAAGCGGATTGGCACGGTGGCGTACAAAGTTGAGTTGCCATCGCACTTGGAGATTCACCCCGTCTTCCATGTGAGTCAATTGAAGGCATATCATGAAGACAAGGAAGATGGAGCACGGAAGGAGTCGACGAGGGCACCAACTCTCGTCACCACAACACATGAGCACGAAGTGGAGGAGATCTTGGCTCACCGTGTTGTGCCTAGGCGTGGTGTTCACCCAAGCTACGCGGAATATCTTGTCAAGTGGAAGGGGCGGCCAGAAAGTGACATCACTTGGGAGAAGGAGCTTTCACTATGGCGTCAAAAAGACTTGATCGAGGCATTTCATGCGGAGTCCGCGACGAGGGCGTCGCGAGATTGAGTGGGGGAGAATGTTACGCGGAAGATTCTAGAGCATTCTAGAAGGATGTAGGTACATGCATGCATCTTTCAATTCATGCACCAATGTACATACATCCCCCCTTTCCTATCTTTTATTCATGCACCTATTTATTATGATTCATGTATGAGTGCTTATGCATTCACCTTATTTATTACATTCATGTATGGGACAAGTTCATGTATGGAGGGACTTCTAGGTTCGTTCATTTATGACGGCCATGTACATTGTACTTAGTGGAGAGGATGCCTATATAAGCATCCCTCTCCATCATTTTTCATTCATCCAGAAATTGAGAGTTTCCATCTCTAGAGATTTTCTCCATACTTGTGAGTTTGAGTGAATACGAGCAAGGCTGACTTAGTTTCCCACTCTTACCATGAGATCCTCAACGGTCTTTTGGATGAATTACAAGCTAATCAACTAGTTGAATAGAAGTGGCAGTAGGATGAAGTTCACATATATCAAGCTCTTTAAACAATTTATAGGACATCATATTTATGTTGGCTCCTAAGTTGGCTAGTGCTTTGAATATGGTCAAATTGCCTATAGAGCAAGGGATAAAGAATGTATATGGATCCTCCCACTTCAATAGAGGTTTGCTGTAGATATAGGTCGAGCACACCTTGCATAAGTTCACCATAGGTATTTCATCAATCTTATTTTCTAAAGAGAAGCTCTTTGAAAAACTTTGTCTACTTGGGCACTTGAGTGACCTTGTTCAAAAATAGAGCAGTAATATGCAGTTGCCTAGTTATGACATTAAATTCAACCTAGTGCCCACCATCTCCCATCTTTCTTGAGCCAATAGATGGGATGATCTTTAGGATTTTCTTCGGTAAATATTGGTATTTTATAACAATAATACTCCTTGTGATTTCTTTTCCAACTCAAGGATTTTATCCTTTAATTGTGGGGTGCGGATAGTATAACAACACCTTAAGTGTTGTTACCATAACAACAAATCTAACTAAGGGTAAAAGAGTAAATGAACAAATTACAGAAAAAGAAAATTGAATTACAACTCAGAAGAGATGGATAGAAACTTACGACTCTGCTCTCCCACTCTCTGCCACCTTCGACCTAGAAGACCTCCAAATCCGTCCATCTCCAGCCTCCGTCGGAGCTTTGTCCTTCACAACAACCGCAACAGCGGTGGCGACGCAAAATTGAGTTCCTCGCCATCGACCAGCCTCCAACCTCACCGACGTTGCGACACTCTTCCATGCTAGATCTTATCTCTCTTCATTTTATGTTTTCGATTCTTCTTCATCGAAGGCTAATCAAGATGGTGGCAGAGAGGGTGGTGTTCTTCGGAGCTCGAATCCTGGCATTGAGCATGGCCGATTGAGCACCTCCACGACGCACTCTGCAATGCAGATCCTGTTTCTCCTCCGTTGCCTCACTTCTTCTGTTGCCGATTGTTCTTCATCGACGAGAAATCAAGCTGGTGCGGAGAAGGCAGTGGTTGTTGGAGCCAGTCTGGTCAACCTACTTCCATTCTTGACAGAAAATCTAGTTTCTCTAATTGACCGTGTTGGAGTCGGTCGGGAGTCGACAGAGGTTTCGATGGATAGAGGGTTGAATGCATGTGGCCCTGTTAGCTTTAAAAAGAGGTT